TTTTTTTTTTTTTCTTATGTCCATAATTTTTCTTTGTTTTATTCTTCATTTTGAACTTATATATATATATATATATATATTTGCTTCTTAAGTAATGTTAACTGGAAAATAATATTCAGTTCTATATTCATTCCTAGAAACGTAGAAATAACCAATGATTTATAATTTATAGAATTTATAAGTGCAATTTATTATTAAAGATTGAAAGACAGATAGGGAAGAGGGATTTTCAGTGCAGTCTGGAATAATCTTTTTTGTATTTTACTTAATTAAACAAAAATATTCTTACTTTTGGGTCTTAAAACCAGTTTTATTATTTAAGTATAAAATATTTGTCTAAAATCTTTTTAAGTGCAGTGACGACTAGAATTTTTCCATTCCTATGTGTAGCATCCTTTTGTAGAATTGTTTATTATTTAATATTTTGAGGTTTTTGAACAAAACTAATTTTAGATGACTTTTTGTTTCTATTTCCAAATGCTGTTTTGCTAAAACTTATGCTTACTAAGGATTAAAAATAAAGATTTATTCTACGTATTTAAAAACTGTAGAATATACAATTAGCTCAGAATTAAAAAAAACTTATTTCTTATTTTTTTCTCCTTAGCTAATGGTACCACGCCTAACATATTTCCCACTGGTAACCGACAAAGTTCAAAAACATTTCAGCAATCATGTAAAGGATGAGACTGTTGGTGCAGAAATGTGGATAGATTATGATAGTCAACCTTTAAAATGGTTTGTACAGTTAATGTTTCATACTTTTTCATTTTGAAGTATCTCTTATTTTATTTTACTAACATATAGTTCTATCATGTTTTATCTGCAATTTAACTTTCAATAGATCAATATAGTGATGTTTGTGTTCAGTTTCTTAGAATTGAACATTTACTCAGCTCTCTGATTAGATCCTTTATTTTCAACCTAATCAGCCTATTTCTTCTTTGTCGTTTTAGGAATTACCCTGTAGGATTGCTATTTGATTTCTATGGAGCTGATGCTCAGCTGCCCTGGAATGTCACAGTCCACTTTCAAGTAAAAAATGCAGCATTTTTTCCCCTGTACTTTGCCCGACATTTTTATTCATGCAGCAGTGGGATCTGTTAGAACCACAAAAACTCAGAAGGCTTAAAACCAGCTTAATAAAGTCTAGAAAAAGAAAAGTTTTGAAACTTAAGATCTTAAAGTTTAAATTTTAAGATGTTTTTAATTTTTAAGTTCTTTTTTTAAGTCATACTTTTTTACTTTCAACTTTTCCTATCCAATTGTGCTATTTTTTGCATTAATGAACTAAGGGCTTCAGTTTTTTTTTGTTATCACAGTTTGTTGGTGATTCACAATAATCAGTTTTTGTTTGAAATTCTTTAAAATATTGCAAATGATTTATACTTAAGAGTTTAATGGTTTAGGTGTATTAATGTGCCATATTGAATAGACCATCATTAGTATCTAGGAATGAAAATTTAGTATTGATAGTATTACATGTAACTTTTTATTTTTTATGATTTTAAAATTTTATTGGTATTTTCTGTCTACTATTATTCTCATGTTTTCTTAACTGACGTAGTGTGTTTCTGTATGCATTAATTTTTAGAATTGTTGCTTTTAGTTGATAATAAAAGTAGAATTAAAAAAACTCTTTTAAAAACTTTCTAGAAATTAATTATAAAGCCTGTTTATCGATTGGTAATTTATAAATATCAAAATAAACATCGCTTGACTTATATCTGTCTTAAATTTTGTTGAAACAAGCTTAATCACTGCATTGGAATGCTACTTGAGTAAAATTGATGTAAAATCCTCATTATAAGTACAATATCTGTTTTGACACTTCATTATTTGGAGACTGTCTTAGAAGCTCTCTTGGATCTTAAATTTTGAGTTTGTTTCCCGGAACTTTTGCTTAACTGTTATGAGCTTCATTTTTTGTCTGCATTGATTTTTGAACAAAATGTCAGCACAATTCCTTTAAAAGATGACAGAAAATAAATTCTCTTTTTTAGATTTTACAGTTTGCTTTATTTCTCTATCTATTGTTCCTTATTAACTGTTAGTTTTTTAAACCTCTTTTCACATTTAAACATGTGTAATGTACAAATATCATTTGCTGCCAGTTTATCATCTTTGCAGTTTTGTATTGCTCATAAAAGAAAATCATTTAAAATTCCTTGTTTTTCCTTTTTTTAAAGTGAAACAAGGTAAATTGATAAACAGTTTTATATCTTTAAAAAATAGCTAGCTTAAAAAATATGCTGATAGTTTATTATAGTTGAAGTAGAATTGAAAATTATTTAAAAAAACATTAATTGGAAAAAAAAAAGATTTTTTTGAATCATGATGAAAGGTATTTGATGAATTGTTTCCCGGAATTTTTTTAATAGCAATTTCGTATTTTCTGAAAGTTTTTTTTTTTTTAATAAAACTAGTAAGTTTTTTTTTAATTTCATCGAAATATGTCCACCTCCATTTGAGTTTGGTTGTGAGCTGAAATTTGTCAAAAACTGTTTTAGTTTATTTATTATGAATAAGTTTTATTTAATAAATTAAAAGCAGGGATACAACCGGTATACACCAGTTTGTGTTAACCCTCCTGGCATCAAGCATGGTATATCTCGGGCATGATTTCTGTACTAAAAGCAGCTTGCCCGAGGATTTTTGGGTTCGCATTCTTGCCTCTGGAGTGGCGAACCCGAGTTTTTCTCAACCAGTATATTTCCTTCCCCTTCAACCTCCTACTGTTCACAAATTGAGAGGCGTATAAGCTGTCATCGCAAATCACTAACTGTGCTAGAGGATTTCTGTTTGAATAGTTAGCGATTTTTGATGTTTGAACCCCCCACTCAAACCAAAAGTTTACCTTTAATACACAGATTATTTTTATTTTCTCCAACATTTTCTAAATATTTAATTTTCTTTTAATATTTATTGCTTAAATTATTATACTAAATCTTAATAATTTAAATCGTTTCGTACTTTCAAATTTCAAATAATTTTCGAAAAGGTAATTTCATTTTAGTGTAAATTGCAGCAAATAATTTCGTGTTTAATTACTAATGTAATATTTAATGAACTAATTTATAAGTTTTTACAAATTATAATTTTTCTATATTTTTTAACTAATTTATTAAATTAGTTAATTGTTTTTTTAAAAAACAATTATTTTTCTTACAAAAAAATTAAAATTTTTTTTATCTGGCAAATGAAGTCAACTCTAAATACACTCTCTGCTTTTTCTGTAATGTTACAGACTTTTTCTGCATTTTATTAAAAATCCCATCACTCAAAGCACAAGTTTTATTAGTACTTCAGTTTAATGATATTAAAAAATTGCATACATAGAGGAGAAATTTAAATCTTTTTCATTAGTAAATACATTTCTCACATATGTGAATATATAAATGTAGCATGTTTCAGTAATGACAATTAAGTTTAATAATAAATTCAAATTTCCTTAATAAATTATATAAAAAAATTTACAAGATGTTAAAACTGCAAATATTTTTAATAAACCAAAGTTTTTTTCCCAACCAAACAAATAATCAAATATTGTAAATAATTTATGCCACTCAAATTACAATATACATTTTAAAGAAAACAATTTTTTTAATTTACAACTGATTATATTTAAAATATTTAAGTTATCATTGTGAAAATTCTAGCAACTCCAATAAAATGTTAAAATGATTGCGCATTTTATATGTTTTATTTGTTTGAATACTTGCAAACTAGATTTTCTATTGAAAAAAAGCTTTATTTTTTAATTAATTTCATCATTAATTTGTTTCAAAGGATAATTTTCTCACCTATCATATGATTCGAAACCCAAATAAAAGTATGTATAAACTCAAGGTGGTAAACCCGAGTTGTGCTCATTCAATATTCGTATGTTTCGGCGCATTCAATATTCGGACTTAAAAATCCATTATTTTCCCAATTCGGTATTGAAGAGTTGTTGATAACGAGGATGAATACATTTTTCATTAAAATAAAATCTTGATAAAAAATATCAAGTGCACCGAAACGACATTACTTTCCAGTCCTCCTAATATTTCATTAATTTAAAAGCTGTTCAATCCAGATCGGTGGAAGTAATCAACTTAAGTATTACAGTACTGACATTCATATTAGAATATGCATTGATTGATTGTCTGAAATATAAAGTACATGATTATGTGATGTTCCTGTTAAGTTATTAAAGTAGTTTTCAGAAGTTTCATTTGAAATGGGGGTACACAAAGCGATAAACAAGCCCTTATTGTGATCTAAATATAATCTAGACTCTGCTTATCGTACTGTCCAAAGGAAGAACATCTCACCTAAGGGTTCCGCATGTTTTCTTTTCTATTCATGGTCAAAAATACTATGCAAGTTGATCTAAAAAAAATGGGCGTATAGTTGTAAACTAAGTGTATCGCATAGGTTATGATATTAAATATCGCATAAGAGAAATGCGAAAAAATAATGAAACTTGAAATAAGAGCTTAAATAAACTTAAAGCAAAAAAGTAATAATAAAATTAAGCTAGAATTTAAAAGGAAACGTAAATGAATTTAAATAAAGTACACGATAATTCTGCTACCTTAACTAAAATAATCCAAGTGATGGATAAACTTTATATTTAAAGGTCATGGAAAATACGATTCAATAGCTACAAAATATCCATTTTACTTCATCAGTGATCTTTCGATGCATTTGTTACAAAAGTTGTTACAACTTTTAATTCAATGATATTTAACGGAAGTAATGTAAAAAGTTTTAATTTCCTTCTTTCAATAATTTTTTCTGCTTACTTAGGCATGTTCTTCGATTTTTTATTGCTAAGCTAGGTACTATAAAGAGGACAAAACTGAAAAATATCCTATATTTATTCTATATACTATGGCACAGAACAATATTTGCTCTTAGGGAATTAGCTTATGGAAAATCCTGGGCTAGCCTTCTTGATGACCAGCAGCGCTCTCACCTTTCCCTCCTTCCCAGAGCTGAGGGAGTTGCTTGCCTTAGATTAATTACTGGACATGACTACTTGCAGGCCCATTTATTTAGAATTAACTTGGTCAATTCACCTCTTTGTGTGCTCTGTAACACTTCGCCTATGACTGGGGAGCATTTATTTGATTGCCCCTCTCTTCTTGACGCTCGTTCCTCTGATGACTATTGTGCCCTCTCACCTTCTGGAGCTACTTCAGTATTGTATTGGACTGCAAGACGCCTTATGTCTGAGAAGACGATGGCGGGCGTAATTTATAAAAAAAAAAATCTAGATACTATTTCCAATTTTGAAAATATAAATATTTGTTTATATATATAAGCATTTTTTATGTTATTTTATTGCCATACAAAAGGTGTGCATAATCGTAGTGCCTTTTCTTATGTTAAAGCATTTTTATGTCATGTTTATTGGTTCTAATTATTGTTAGTTTCTTTCGCAGAAAAAGGAACAATGTTTTTTATCAAACAGTTAGGGAGAGAAATTAATAAAGTCCTTTTAACACATTTTTCCGATTTTGCATGTACTATATTCTATAGGCCGAAAAAAATTATTGTTAGTTATTTGCCATTATGTTTATGCAATGCCATTTTTACAAGCATGGCATAACTCATTCTATGAACCAACATGGTGCAAAGAGTTGAATTTTTTTTTTAAAAAAAATGCTCGATATTAAACATCTTGAATCAATATTACTGAAAATTTTTGTAAAAATATGCTTATTTTTGTGTATTTAAATTCTGTTACTTCAACATAAATTTTTCTTCTTCCAAATATATATCGTTGCATGATCCCCTGAAATACATAACATTGCATGATCTTGTAAAGATTATTCCCCTGAATTTAACAGCAATAGACAAAACTACAAAGAATCATATTGAATTTTGAAATGATATTCTTGCTACGTTTCTTATACTGATATTTATTCTTTGTATGCAAAATTTCAAATTATTTTCAGCTTTATCAATTTCACCTTAAAAATAAAATAAGAAAAATAATAATAATAAATGCAGCTTTGCTTAATAAATACTAGTATACATAGAAATTTATATTTTTAGTCATTTTTATAAATTGTCATAAGAACAGCTAATGATTTTCACTCAAATATTTAAAAGACGAATTAAGAATAAATTATCCAAATTTACTTGAAATTCAATACGAGCACTATTTAAAAAGTTTTTAGAGACACTAAAAAAAATTTAAGTACGTTTTTAACGATATTCCATTTTTAGAACAGTAACTTTTAACAAAAGCTTTTTTTTTACTTAATTTCAAGGAAAAAGAGAAATAATATGAGAGAAATAATAATTAAAGAAATTATATCTACTGAACTGCAGTTATTTTTCTAATCTAACATTTTTGAAAGTACACTCACTCATTTAATTATTTTTTAAATTTAAAATTATCATTAATATTGATTAAAAAGATCAATATGACTTATTACTAACATGTATATCAATGAACTTGTATTTTAAATTTGGAAATGAGGCAATTTAAAAAGTACACACATTTTTTAAAATAAAAAACTTAGAAGGTAGCAGCAAATGTATCTGGGAAATAATTGAAATCACAAGAAGCAGGAAGAAAAAATTATTAATCTCAAAAATCTATTCAGCAGCAAATCAGGGAACATTAAAAAAAAAACCTTTGATGTTATATTTCAACTCTATCATTGTCAAAAAGCTAAGGACAAGAAAGAGTGTAACATAACCTGAAAGCAATTATCTTATCACGAGGAAAATCTTCTTTATTGCTTGATATTTCAGAGAAAAGTGTAAGATTGTATACAGTTCAACAAAGACTTTAAGAAAAGTGAATCACAAAACCCAATTCATCCATCAAACTGTCTTGACCCTCTTTGACCACCTAGATTAATAATCACCCCTTTTAACCACAAATTGAAGCAGAAGGTGGAAAGCATACCTTTTGTCTGACCCAGGACATTTCAGGTAGTATTTTTCTAAATGTGCCTGCTGCTTGAAGTAAGAAACTTAGAGAGAGGAGAGACGCAGGAGGGTTAAGTTAAATTTCTTGAGTTCTGCATAAAAGCATTTAAAAATAAGTAAACAAGAATTGAATTTGTTGCAGTTAAACTAAATAAAAGTGAAAAACATTAAGTTAAGCAATAAAAAATAAAAATGTTAATCAGGTGTGTGTCATTAATTTTTATTTTAAGATTTATATTTTTGTCTTCATGCATCTTTAAAACATTATTCTGGTAAAAAAAGAAAAGAAAAAAAAATAATAATTATTGAATTATCTTTCAACACAATTTTATGCTAAAAGCATACTAACTAAAGTCGTGCAAATTTAAGGTAATTTGGGCTTACTTTTGAATAATTTTAATACAACTCTGCCCCAGATCATTAAGATTTTTTTTTAAAAGCCCAAACCTGAGGTTTAATATGTCAGATTTAAACTAACATTCTTCAAAGGTATGAGGCCAATTTTCAGTAGATACATTATTTCATGTAACCTATTTTCTGATCATAGCAGTTAGTACTATCCAAGTATATATATTGAATAATTTAAACATTTATAGGTGAACTGTATAACATGCTTTGTGTAAGAAATTGTATCGAAACTTATTTAATCTACAGAGGCTTTTACACCTGGTTTCATTCTTTGATTGTTGATAGTATGGTGTTCAAACAGTTTTCTTTGTGAGGATAGGTTTGCATTCAACTTTCCTTCAATTAAAAAAAAATATATATATTCTTTTAAACTGGAAACTGGTGCTTTATACATTGGTTCTACAATTTAATATTAATAATTGATTTTATAAATTTATAGTTAAATTATTAGATAATTTTTAATGTGTTCTTATATTTGTGTACATACCATTATGGTGCTTTCATAGCATTTCTGATCATCTGTCGTGACCTATTCCTTCAGACCTACATTGTGGGTGCAAACACAACTGGGGCATATTGTGGTTTTGAAGTGCCACTTCTCACGACTTTTTACATTGGTTCTGTTTCTTCTCTTGACTTCTCCCTTTGTTTTACAAGTGACTATATGCAGTGTAATCTTGTTGCTGACTATACGGAATTACATCTTGTTGCTGAGCTCTACTGGGCTACTTGTTTTGAGCAATGGTTCTTTCTTGAACTCTTTCTCAGTATAGGAAAAAAGAAAAAATAACTCACATTTATGACAATGTTCATTCGCTACCTATGCATTGTTTCTGTACAGAAGTACTTGATTCTAGAAAAATATACAAGTTGAAAGGTGCATACAATATGTAGAATCACCAAAGAATTAGTTTGTAAATGAATTTTTTTATTTTTTAAATATTTTTATGTTTTTTTTTCTTTTTTAACATTTTAAAAGGTAATATTTTGTAAAACTAAAATATTTGAAATATCTTGCTATGACATTCTAAATGTTCTGCATCATCATTTTATTTAATTATTTTTTTAAATAGGGTTTTCCAGAGGATGAGTTGATTCATTGTACGAACAAGTTGGCCGTTCAGTCCCATTTTATGTCGACCGTCAAAGAAGCAAGTTCCCTGAAGCACAAGGCGCAGGTCGTTCAGAGCATGTTGCCTAAAGAACATAAGGAACTGTGGCAGGGATTTGAGAAGGGTGAGGTTCATCTTAATCACGTTAGCTTTTAATTTTATGAATGTTGTAATGTTTAGGATGTTTTCCTCAAATAGATGATGGTTACTGAGGGCGTTTAAAGCTAAGTTGTTTTTTTCCCTCTCTAATTGTAAGCATTGACACTAAAAAAAAATCATCAAAATTGGCATTTTAAAGAATTTTGTAAAATGTTTTGAACATAAAGCTCTAGGAACCTGTTTACAAACTAATTTCTACCTTTGAAACTGCTTTATATGCCAAACTAAACATAATAAATAAATGCTGGTTACACCTAACAGTTGGCTATATATATACAGTGAAACCTGTTATGGACGCTTCTCAATACGGACATATTTTTAATTCCCAGGGAATCTTCGATGAATAAACCATTGCGTACATTCTCCACAAAGCGGACACTCCTGCAACTGGACGCGGACAATCATTTTTGTCCTGAAACGTTGTTTACTATGTCTTCAAACCCAACACTACTTTTTTTAAATCAAAAAAAACAAAAAAACAATTACTATAAAATTTGAAAAAAACGCCTCCCTCTAGCATTTTTTTGACTGGTCCATAACTAAAAACATTAATCTATTTCAGTTCTAACGAATCTATCATTCTCTTGTCTCTTTATTTTTTCGATTTTATCTTTGGCAAGGCAGAAAGGAAAATGATTCTGCTCATCTGAAATATTTCAAACTGCAGCATCTTTGGGTCTTTTTATCTGGACCACACAGTTGTGACCCCACATGCTCAGTCTTGCAACCTTATACAAGTTTAAGTGACACATTAAATGTTATAAATTCCTCTTTCCCACTGAAATTTCCTTTCTACTACTTATCAGTTTGATCCTTGCACTCATCCTAGTTGGGTTAAAAGAATAGAAATCTTAGTCATCCAAGTGTTCATATAAATCAAACGTTTACTCAAACTTTTGACAAATGATCGATTGCAAATACAACTCCATGGGGTTTGGTGTCTTACAGGTAAGCATTGTCTTGTTCTTTTTCTATGCATTACTGGAAGTTTATTTTCAGGGAGGTATTACCAGGCTTCTTATCAAGTGATGGGGGAAATAAAATGTATTGTTTGAAACCGACTGGGTTAGTGATGTAGGAATATAAGTGTCCATTCGGTATCATATGAATGTCTGCGTAGTTATGAAAAACATTTTCATTTCTTCATAACTACATCTGCTGAAAGAGTATTTGAGATAAAACTTTTAAAAGATATTTTTTCTTGAAAAAGTCTCTTGTTCAACAATGCCTCGTAAAGTTTTAACTTTGAAGGAAAAAATTTAACTTTGGGAGTATTTCAAACATCAAAGCAGTGATCGAAAATTGCCCAAAGACTTTAAAATTGAAAAGACTCAGGCAGCAGACATCATTAAAAATAGAGAAAAACTTAAGAAACTTTGGTGCAAAAAAGAAAATAAGAAACAAATTAGAATATCTTTGGCAAACAGACTTGGATTTAAAATTGACAGATGTGTTTTTGAATAGTTTTCTCAAGTTAGGAGCAAAAACTATCCAGTATCAGGACTAGTATCCAGTATCAAAACTATCCAGTTGCAGGAAAAGGCTAGAGAGGGAGCTGAGAAATTGGGGATAAAAGATTTTAATGCTTCTAGTGGATGGTTAGAAAAGTTCAAAAGTACCTCCCTTATTAAAGGACTATACTCACGGAGATATATTAAATGTTGATGAGACTTGTCTTTTTTTCTGGCATTACCGGTTAAAACTTTGTGTTTAAAAAGGGAAAAGTGTGAAGGAGGTAAAATGTCAAAAGAGAGGTTGACGATTTGTTTTGCGCAAAGTATGACATGACGAGAGAACAAGAGATTAGGTAGATAGGCCAACCAAAAAAAGAAAGCATAAAATTTGATGTTTTATAAGCTTTTTTATGGGTAATTGCAACCTGGGAAAAAGTAAAAAGCTCAACCATTTTAAATTGTTTCACTAAGGCATTCTTCAAAAAAGATACATCCGAATGCAATATCCTTACAGATGTCGTGGATGACACTGATTCTCATGATTCCTTTTCTGAATTAACAAATTTGATTTGCTTGACTGGAGAAAGTGTTATCAATGGTAATGATTTTGTAAACACTGACGAAAATATTGAATGTCAAAAGAATGATTTAAATATTGATAAAATTGTTGAAATGGTTGCAAATAATGATGCCGAGAGTGAAAATGAAGACACTGATACTCAATTGCTTTCTGAATGCCCAAAAGTGAAAACTTTAAGTGAGGCTCAAATTTGTATTGAAAAACTGAGATATTTTTATCTATCGAAAAATGATGAAATTGGTGTAAAGATGCTAAATGATTTAAAAATGTACCATGAAAATATGGTGAGTCGCAGCCACTTTAAACAAACTTCTATCATATCTTTCTTTTCAACTGGATAATAGTATAACAAAGGCATATATCAGATTTCTCAATCTTCTCTTTTTGTACCAAAAATTTATATTTTAATTTCGTTACGTTTAAATAAATGCCAATGAAAATAGTTGTTATATGTTATTTATTTCTAAATCATTGCAATTATTCTGAAAACAATTTATGGCTTAAGCATTCTTTACTAGTGTACTCTTCCCCTAAACGGAAAAAATTTTTTGGTCCCGAGAGTTTCAGCTTAACAGAGTATATATATATATATATATAATTATTTTATATGTCTTTTGCAGATAAATTCGATCAGTTTTGGGGTGTGAACAAAAGATTGATGGAAAATCAAGGAGAGCTCTACTTTAAACACATTCCTTTCAGACTATATCAGGTGAGAAGAAATCACTTGTAATTAAAATAGCATCCTACAGAAATCTCATTATTGAAATGATTGTGACCAGCCAGTTTTCTTACTTTTGAAGGCATTGCTTTTGTGCAAGATTTGGATTAAATTAATACCAGCGGGTGACCGAGCTCGGCTCGGAGAAAACAGGTATCGAAGCTAACTCGAAGATTTAAATTTTCAATTGTGATTTATCAAAACAATACATGCCATAAGAAAATTTGTGAAACCATTGGTGAAAAGATAACCGGTTAAAGTGCACCATTGTAAACTATCTAAACAGAGTTTGGAAAGGGAACTATTCTATACAAAGGTAAAGTTAGAAAAGTCATAGGAAACAAAATGTAATTGATAACAAAAAATGATACCATTAAAGACACTGTTCACAACGAATTCGTAAATTTGCTTCCGTTCATCCGCTTCTTGAAAATTCTTGTCCAGGAAAAGGCGTCGATGAGAGAGGTATTGTCGAGCATAAAAGACGATGTAAACTCCGCAGGAAGACGCGCGTCATCTTGGTGGTTGTAAACGTTGCGAGGTTTCACGATGCATCCTTTCAGCTTTTCATTCGGAACAACGGTATTCAAAACGTGTCGCAGTATTTTTCTCAAAACAGCATCGGTGGGCAGCGGGTTGTCGACTGGATCGTAGACTAATAGTTGACGTTCTCCATAGCTTGCTTCGTAAATTCCTAGCATCCAGTGCTCGCCTCTATCCATTTGAGCTCTCTTGTGAATGGGAATGAGTAGCACGTCGAATCCTTGTTGAACGCCGTATAGATAGTTGGAAGCCTTGTTCTGGTCGCTGATATCGTTGAGAAGAGCCATTCCTTCATAAGCGCCATCCGCTGTTGTAACGTAGAAGCGTGCGACAAATTCAGGGTGAAGTACGGCAACTTTGACGGTCGGGTAAGCTTGTTCGGCGTAATGGAGAAGCATTCTGACAATGACGGTATCTTCTAGTTGTCCATTTGCGGGTAGAATTGAGTTGATCGCTTGTTGTTCCAAAATTCCGGCTCCTTGAAGAATTTCATGTAGAGGTGCGTTCTGCATGTTGAAAATGTAGCTTGAAATCTGATGAATGTTGAAATGTCGGACTTTGTTGACGGTGATTTTAACACAAAAGTTAAACTTTTCTCCACTTTGATAAATGTAAACTAATGCGAACCTTACAATTAAATTATTAATTCCTTCGTATATTATTGGTTTAAGTTGTCACCGTCGCTTTTCCTTATTGTAAAGTTCGCATTAGCATACATTTATAAGAGTGGAGAAAAGTATCTATAGCCATTATGGCGAACTAATAAAGTTTGAAAATATCCTATCTGTAACTCCGAACTGCTCGACCGTAGCGCTTCAAAACCGGCGCCAATCGATTCCTCGTGGCCAAAAACCCCAGACCCCCAAGTTTACCGGAGTTTATTAATTCTGGGGCGATTTTCGACTTGGCAACCATTCCTCGTATAATAGTATAAGATTAAGTAATGAAAAAAGTATCAAATAATGACAATATAAAGTATTTAAAAGTCCAAAAATTCCTCCTTGGTTATCTATTTAGTCTCTGAAATCATATATTTATATTAGAGTAAATATATATCATTGTTTCTCAACGGGGGCAGTGGGAGTATGCCGAAGGGCGCTGAATTTGTTTTGGGCAGTGGGTATATTTCAGGCAGTAGGGGGGCGATGAGCATGTTTGGTCATTCAAATTTAGTTTTAAAACTCCAAAATATAATTGTTAAATTAAGATTAATTTAATAACTAAAATTAACATTAAAGAAAACAAATTAAGACTATCAGATTCAGCATTTGTACCAGCAATAAAACGAACTTATGTGACTCCTATTCTCCAATCCGATGCATGAGTCAGTTGTTTTTGCCACATTTAAGATATTTGGTGAAGTGCATGCGCGTTCAGTATGAAAGTTTGATTTGACCCATGTTTCTTAGGATGGTTTTCGTTTACTTCCTTTCAGTTATTTACCACAGTTTTGATTTGATTTCATTGTTTATTTGGCCAGGTACATGCACAAATTAGTTCTTTATCGTAAATTATTTGTTAATTTTTAGGAATATGGACCAAAATGAATATGGGTTTCTTTTATTGTTTGTATTTTGCGGCGGCCAACAATGTCAGTTAACAAAAAGAAGTATCGGCAATACAGTGTCGTGTACTTGAAGTTCGAATTTGGTCAATCACTGTAGAACGCGTGTGTTTACTTTGTACCAAAGTTTTATCTAATAAGACAATAAATCTTTCTTGTTTGCAAGAGCATTTGCAAAAAATTTATCATGACAAACAAAATAATGATTTGTCATTTTTCACGAACATCAACGACAAGTTTCTGACGGCCTCAGGCTTACTAGCTACCTCATCACAAATGATGGTTTGATAGCCTCTTATAATATATAAAAATTAATTGTTAAATCTGGGAATCTTTCATACCATCGGCAAAGAGTTGATACTGCAATCTGTCAAAGAAGTTTTAGAAACAGTTTTACACCATTCAGCCGCATCCAATTAAAAAATATCTTATTAAGCAACGATACAGTGCGACCACGAATTGATGAGATGGCTGAAGTTTCGTTATGCCAACTTTTGATATCCAACAAATTTTCCCTTCAAGTCGATGAGTCAACCTTGCCAAGTAATAAGGCTTTGCTGTTGGAGTACGTCCAATTTGTGGAAGAAGGAAGAAATATTCAAGAAATGCTTTTTTCAAGAAGCTTGATTAAAGACACCAAAGGTGAATCTATTTTTAATACTGCCAAAGATTACTTTAAAGAGAAAAACATTCCTCTTGCTAATATTATGTCTAATACCACTGATAGACTTCCTGCAATGGTGGGACGACATCGTGGGTTTATCGCCTTTTTGAAGAGGGAGGTACGAGATATTTTAGCTGTTCACTGTGTAATTTACATGACAGCATTTAGTTGGAAAAATTCTCAGCGATCGTTTGCATCAGCCATTCCAATATGTCGATCTCTGCTATGAACAAAATTCGCAGTAATGCTCTCAACGATCGATTATTCAAAAGTTACATTAAAAAAAAGATGAATTCAATCGCTTGCTACTACACACTGAGTTTTGCTGGCTTTCCTAAGGCGCCTGTCTCAATGGGTTTCAGAATATTTTCGACTCTGTGCTTGAGTTCCTCGAAGACAGAGATGTTGCTCTGAGAGACAGATGACTAGAATTTAAGATAGACGTTGCATTCATGATGGATTTATTTGCAAAATTTAATGGTGTTAATTTAAAACTTCAAAATTTGATCACTACAAAATCAGTTATTTCTGCTATTCGAAAAAAACTCATTTTGTGGAAACGGAATTTCGGTCGGAATGAGTTCAGCCAATTTCCAATCTTATTGGATCTTTAAAAGAATGATAAAATTCCCTTTGATACTAAAGAATATTGTCAACACCTTGAGTCTTTACGCATGAACTTTCTGACTGTTTTAAATATGTTTTGTCCTTGGAAGTCCCTCAATGGGCTATGAATCCTTTTGTGAATATTGAAACAGTAGAGCTTCAGATTCAGGAGGAATTGGTCGAACTTTCAACTAATGAAACTTTGAAATGGTGATCGACTCTCAGAGTTATGGCTTCAAAGGAACATCAGTCGCCTTTACCCTAGACTGTGGACTATCATCAAAATGTTTTTAATTGCCTTCTTTTCCTTTTACCTAGTTGAAAAAGATTCAGTGCTGTGACATAATTTCAAATTTTAGTAAACTTTTTTGCAGCTCTTTATTTGTATCCATTTCATTGCTAATCCAAGTGACTTTTCAATCTTGTTTTCAGCAGTTATTGTGGAATTCCTACATGTTTTTAAGTCATTACATTTTTAACACGGTATTATATCTACTCGCTAGTTTCGAATCGTACATTTCAATAGTAATCACTTTTGGCGTACTCTATTTGTCTCAATTTTATCATAAACCCAAACTATTTTTTTAATCTTTTTTGGCACTTATTACTATGCATTTCCTCATGGCTTTAAAAATTGTGATATTTTTAACTCATATTAATACCTCACTCAAATCGCCTGTTTTATTCTCCGTAAGTTCTTCGGTGATCTGTTACATAAAGTCTCCATTCATCATTAGTTTATCAAGCAGCACTTGGGCAACATTTTTACTAATTGATTTACAATCTTTGTTGTACTACCTAGTTGCTTCCTTTCAAGGTGTAACCCTTGAAGAAATGGCTATTTATCCACCTTGTCACTTTCAAGTAAAAACATCTAACTTGAACTCATTTTTTTTCTTCTGTAGACTAAGTATAACATCAGGATATTCCTTTTTCAATAATTACTTTTCTAAGATATAAGGAACAAATTTTTTATTTTTGTAGTATTCCATAATCATAAAATGAAACAGTATTTTGCAAACTCATTTCATACAAAACATGTGTTTCTTTGACTGTAAAAAATATTGAACCAGCACTTACAAAAAGTTTAGATAAGGTAGTGTAAGTGGTTTATTTACTCTTTTGTACACATCACTTTTTAGCAGAGGACTTTAAGCAGATCTTTTTGAGCTCTTTTGCAAACTAGTGGTAACCGACAATAACTCACATACCTCATTATATAAGAAAAATATTTTGTTCCAAATCTGTGGTTTCACAAATCAATTTCATTAAGTTCTAGAAAGATATTTCCTGAACCAAATGTTAATATCCTTTAGATATTCAACTATGGTTGAAAAACCTTCCACTTTAAGTACTTCAACATAAGCATTATGCACAATGTGCAGATTACAGGTGCCAAGACTCACTAAGTTTCAGCACGAACGTTTTTGAACCTCAGAACCAAAGATTAATACTTTTGAAACGGAAAGATTATTTGAACTAATACAGTTCATTAGTGCAGTATTAATATTCTCTAATGCATGATGTATTATTTCAGTTTTTTTGTAACTTTGAATAATTGTTTTTATTAGATTCATTTATATTTTCCCCATACACCAGGGCTCGAAAAAACTCAGAAATTTTACCCGTCCCCGATGACGGCTTGTCCAACAATGTACCTGTCCTCCTTTGAAACTAACCCGTCGCTTCTAAATAAATAAAAATATCATTTTCTCTTATTTATTACAAACATTTATATAAATTGCACAATGAATTAGTAGTTACTAGGATTACATTATACAGTAATAAAAGAAATACTAGGTTACTAATAGTAAAACCTAGTATTTCTATTATGAAATAATTTATTTCTTTGATGAAATAATTTAAATAACAAAGGTTAAGTTATCTGTCAATTATCATGTCAATTTATCCGATGGTACTGCGTTTTTTAAATGAATCAAATATGACGTTTGCCAGTTCCACAATCAAGCCAATGATTTACAGAGGTTTCTGCACAGAAATCTGAAAGAGGTTTTCCATTTAGGTAGATGTTCATAAATGCGTTTAACGCTTCTTGTTTAAGACCAGTAAGTAATGTGTTTTTTTGTAAGTTCATTGCTGAAAAGCCCCTTTCAACCGCTGCAGTACTCCCAGACAGAGAAAACATCAATTCCACCATGTGCAGCATGTTGCTGTATTTCGAGATTAGAGGGTCATTTAAAAAGTGAGGCACTAGACTCTTGTAAGATAACAAAAATTGAAAATGAATCATGAACATTAACGGGAAAATGGTAGTCTGTACGGACGCTGGATTCGAGAAATTTGTTGTCCGCGGGAAATTTTTGACAGCCGAGGACGGGCGGTTTTTCGAGCCCTGCCATACACCATAGTATAAAAATGTTCATTGCTAATATCCTTCATCGTTATCTTTAGAAAATATGGTTCCAATTCATGACATACAAAATTTTCCTGTCAGAAAGCTTCAGTGCAGTTAAAAACATCCCTTAAAAGAAAAAAAATCAAATATTAATTATCAAATGTTATAGATTCAACAGATTCAAGTTAAATGAAAGAAAATACTTCATAATGTAAATTTTAAATGTATGTAAAAAAGTATTCATCAGACTTTAATTTCTTATTAAATTTAAACTCAAAGTTCCATTATTAGAACATTGACAGGTAAACTGCTGATGGCCGCCTTTTCTTTTTATATATATATTTTTTACATTTGTGATTTGAAATTGTTAATTATACGATTCACAAATTGTTAAATCAGCATTTTTAATAATGTTTTTACCAATTTTAAAATATATTCTTGTTTTGAATTTATTTTTCTGTAGTTGAATTTAAAGGAATTCTTTTGATACTTAGTATAAATTCTGAATACTAATCCTTAAATAGGATTAAATATATTGATGCTGATTTTATTGTTTAGAAAACATGTGATATCACTTTTAAGAAATTTCTTATAATGATGATATCTGGAATGGTATATAATGAAAAATCTTATCCAGCCTTATTACTTAAGCGATTTACATGAGTCAAATCAACATTAAATGAAAAAAATCATAAGATAAATAGTTTAATTGAATTTTCTCTTTGGCAAAGAGCTTCACTTTTAGTTGGGATTTTAACAATAAGAAAAAATTGTTAACAAAGTGAGCAATTGCTATGCTATACAAATAAAGCAGAAAACTATTAGAAACAAGTAAATAGGGTTTAACAGAGAAAGTCTCAAAAAGTAAATAAAAAAAGAGAAGAAATAAAGTTTAAATAAACTATTTTACAATGTTTTAAAAAATAACTTACTTTTGTACAGTTTTCTCTAATTTTCGTGTTTGTATTGAATCGAATTTTTTAAATGGATGTTCTTTTTTATTTTTACGTTAACTTTTTTTTCTAAAAAAATTAGCCTGGTGAGTCATTAATCCAGACATTAGTCAAGCCTGTTCATGAAACCGGAGAAGTTGTAACACTAAAAGATTTGCTTGAAACAATTGTGCCTGAAAAGGTTCAAGAGATTGGTATGTATTACTTTTTATTGAGTTATGATTCAGGATTTAAGCTGATATCATGAGTTCTTGCGCAAAAAGCTAAAAATCAAAAAAATGCTATTATACTCCATGGCTATAATATTATTTATAAATAGGACTTAGTTTCCCTTTCTGAAAGCTTTGTTGTGTTTAATTTTCATTTGTCAAAAAATTTTAAAGTTTCACTTAAAAAGCAAGATTTTTTGTTGTTGTTGCATTATAAATTTCATATTTTTTCTTGCTATTTTCTTTATTTGTTGCACAGAATTGCCATTTTTTTGTGAGAAGTATTTTATCCTTAACTAAGTAGAATCTGTTATAAGAATTTTATATAAGATATTATGTGGCAATTTTTGCTATGTATTTTCCTTGAAATTTTTTTAGTAAAGTATCTAATAAAATGTTTCAGCAAAAAAATAAAAATTTCTTAGCATTTTTAGATAGTTTACTAGCATATTACTATTAAAATATCAAAAATTATCTTAGCTATTTTAATAAATAATTTTTTTATTTCAAATGGCAAGCAAGTTTCCAATAGCAAATAAATGAATTGACAAATTTCATTTTGTCATTATTGCTATGCATATAGTACTGTAGTTATGTTTGTTAGTAATTTTTAATACAGGACCATTACAGTTTTTTAAGAACATAGTTTATATATATGTATATGTATAGCATAATAAATAAATACAAAAAACACGAAGAAAATTAAGAAAAACAATAAGTTTTATTTATTGCACATAAGCTGCAAGTAAATAGAAGTCATAAAATAAGTTCAAAATGTAGATAAAACAAGGGGAAAATTACAAATCCCAATTTTTTCCCCTTTTTTCATTGTTCTGTAATTTTTCCCTTGTTTTATCTACATATATATATAACATGGAAACACCATTATAACAAAAATTTATAATTATTTTTAAATTTATTAGTAATTTTTTGTATTTAAAAAGCAATTGTATTGGCAATAATTAAAAATTTCCATCTTGGGATACAATAGATTCCTCAATGTGATGATTGAAGCAAAGCACTGGCAAGTTTCATTTTTTAAGTTTAAAAAATTAAGAAATTGTGACAAAACATCTGCTTTTTAATCTGCTAAAAAAAAAAAAAAAACTCATGCTTCAGAAAAAAACTGGAATTACCCAAAAATTTGATTTCAGCTGTAAAAAAATCAGTGAAAGGTCATAGAAAGTTTTTTTTAAAAAAAAACTAGGGAAATTCATATGGTAGAGTTAGAAAATGACCAGTCTTGACAATAACAATAACCAGTTATTGAGATTCAAGTTAAATACACTCATGTCCATTAATTAAAATTAATGCCAGCTCAATGGCAAATAAAGTACCAGAAACAAAACAAATGACTTATTTATGAAGCCCTTAACAAAAGATAAATAGAAAAAAGATGGTATTATACCATTTATAAAAACTATGATTATTGCTCCCTGGACCAATTATTATAAATATCAGCTGCACAAAAACTTAATACATTGTTGGTAAAATGTTTAATATATTTCATGACGTCCATGCAATGAAATACGGTCCGTACAACATGCTGAGTATCAAGTTAATCTTGGGGAAGATTGCTCCACTCAGAATCTTGGGGAAGATTGCTCCACTCAGAAAGTAATGCTCTCCGAAGTTCCATGTAGGAGGTGGTTAATAGGCTGCAACTCATCAGCCAACTACATCTCACACATCAGATTAAGTCAGGTGAGAATGCTGGCCATTCCATAAGGGTGATATATTCAGATTAAAGGCGTTCGTTTACAATATTTTCTCAGTTTGCTGTAAGACTGGCACTGTCATTTATGAACCCCAATTCAGCACCCATAGACAAAGGTTGTTCCAGAATGAAGTTCCGATAAATTTAGTCTGTCACGGTTCCTATTTGAACATGCAGATCTGTTCTCAATTCCACCACAATCCTACACCACCTAAATGGTGTTGTTCAGTCTCAGTGGTTCTCCATATTAAAGTCTGATGTGAATCTAAATCTGGACTCGTCGGAAAACATCATACAGGCCAGGGACGATATAAGACATATTTTTCTCAAACCTCTGCACATGGTTTACCTAGAAACCGTGGTACCCATGGCTGTAGATAGCTGACGAGACAGGTTGGATACTGCACTCTGTCTGTTTCTTTTGGCAGTTACAGCAAAATATTAATATCCATTTGGCTTTGTAACTCGAAAGCGACCAGTATTGTTATGTATATTGACATTTCCCTCATTTTAAAATCATTGCCAGCCTAGAGATGATATTTCCATCTGAGTACGCTTACATTCCAGGCGGCCAATAAATCTCCCACATAAAAAATCATTCACCTGCGTCCTCTGGCAGAACTATTTGGTTAGGACACTGAGTGACTGCTTACAGAATACTTGGAAAGCATTCCTCTGACGCTCTCGTCCTTGTGAAGTACTAGTGTCATTTGGTGACTTCCTGTACTATGCATGTTATTCTTAAAGAAGTGTGTGATAATTCTACTTTGTTCTAAGTGTGTGAAATTTTTATTTACGAGTTCAATTTCTGTAATTCTGAATTAATTTTGATTTAAGGACATGAGCGCAATTTTAAAATCTATTATAAAAATTCCATACTTCGGTAATATCTTTTTCTTGATGAACTCATTTAGTGATATTTAGTCTCAGAGAAAATCTAATGTTTGGCATGACCCATTTAAAAAAGAAATACATTTTTCTGAAAACTTGTAGTGCATAGATAAAGTATGGTTTGTTTAAATTTTCTTAAAATACTTGAAAAAGATAGGGAATATCAATTTTCGATATAAAATGGGATTCCTGATAAAGTAAAGATGTTTATTCGTTTTTCGAGGAATGACTTTTTAAATTTTTTTTAAAAAAAGCACTTTTCTCTTATTTCTAAATACTAGTTTATTAATTCCTAAACTATGTAAATATTAGATTATTGGAATTGCATTTTATTTCACTCTCCAAGCTTAGTCAGAAAATAGTGTAAATTTTAATAGAATCCTGAGTATTATGAAAACAAAAAATACATATTCCTAATGAAAAGATATAATTAAGTACTGTTGTTGTCATTAAAGATGTGCTTGCTTAGCCTAGGACACTCAAACTCTAAAAAAAGTGATTTCAACTTTATTTTGTTTTTTAAGTGTTATCTCGAGTAATGTATCATAATGTATAATTTCAATTTCATACAGAATCATAATGTATATTTTCAATTTAATACAGCAATTCTTAGTTAGGGACTTCTATTAGGAACTTTAACCATGTGTCATAGTTTTCTACAAATTATGAATTTTTTTTATGCATTGAGTCTGCAGTAATTTATCATGTTTTGATACACACAGCCAATTTATTTCTATATGTCTATACAGTCGATATAATTTATATATTCATCTGTTTTGTTTAACAGGTGCAAATTACCAGTTGATAACCCATGGTATACACCCACCACTTGACATGAGTCTTCAATGGATGAGTGAACACATGAGTTATGCAGATAACTTCCTTCACATTGTACTCCTACCCAAAGACTAAATTCTTTATTTGTGAAAAGAATCCTGTGTATTTATTACAGAATGACGTGGTTTAAAAATGCACATTTTTTTTTTTATAATAATGAAATTTGTAATTTTATTTTGAAAAAGTCTTTGAGATCTTTATGAATATGTGATTAAGACAGAATACATGAATTATTATGATTGATTTTTTCTTTTAATTTTTTGATTTAAAATATTATTTTTACGTTAAAAGACTAAATAAAAATTTTGACCAAAAGAATAAAGATAGCTACAACTTTTTGTGTGTTCATGATGTATTTCAAGGGTTAAAATTTATTTTTAAATTTCTTAAGAGCATTAAAGTTCAAAGTCAGATCTATTAATTTCCTTAAGCTAATAAACACTTAGGTACGACTTCTGGTAAGTGCTTTCCAATGACATTGTAAATCACTTTATACAAAAACAATATATATAAATAAGAAAGTTTTATGTTTTAGTATTATTAATCTAAGGATATGTTTCAAGAAAAGAATATTGCTCAACTAAAATTCTATGTCATGCTAAAAAAATGTATCGCATAGTAAAAAAAAAAAAAAAAATGTATCAGAGCATGTGTATTGAACCTTTTTTTTTTCCTACAAAAGTTCAACACACACATTCTTTTTACAAAAGCCAGAAACAGACAAATGAAGTTATAAATCTAAATTGAATGTGTGTAATATTGATAAAAAGTTTTTTTTTTTCAAAGGAAAAAAAATAATTAAAATCATTGTAATTTTAATTTATGCCCGAGATATAAGCTTACTCAGGACATGAATAAAGCTCATTGATGCTCATTTCAGTTTCACAAAATGCTTAAAGAGAATAAATTCATTTTAAATATTATTTTTTTTTAAAATGAAATTAGAATTTGAAAGTTTGTTGTTTGCTTAAATATTTTTTGAAATAATAAAGTAATAAAAACACTAATAATCATGATGAATAACAGAATGTGATCAAGTCAATAGTTATGATAAATATTTTAACAATCAATAAAAATGCCAGTAATTTAATTGCAGGGATGCTAACTGCTCCGCTTTCTGCTTAATTAAGTGGTAGAAAATTATACTCAAATTTTTGCAGAATTTCAGTTCTGAAAATTTTTATTAACATCAGCATAAGATAACTGGTGGCATTTTATATAAACATTTAAATTATATATTCTAGTGGGCAAAATCATCTGAAAGCAAATTTACTGACTGAATTCAATATTGATTTTCAGAAAGTAATGTCATTGCTATGCATACATTACAAAACAACTGTCAAAAAGAGAATATAATTTCTCTTAATTTTTCATACTTAAATAATCCCTTTTAATGTCAATAGTTTCAAATAACTAACAAATGGGAGGGGAAAAAAATACCATAGATTTTTGCCAAACTTACACTTGAAAATAACAAATACAGCAAAATTTTTTTCATTCAAGTATGTAAAACTAAGTCTATAACAAAGAGGGGTTTTGTTTTATAATTTTTATTATTTTCTCAATTTTAATAATTTACTGTAATATTTTAACTATAAATTTAAAATAAATAATATTCTTTATACTATAGGTTTGCCTTGAATCGATCATTTTATTTGAGCAACAAATATATGCTTTGTTAGTTGATGAAGTTAACTTGGTTTTGCTAAAATCTGAAAATTTTAATTTTTGTTATTGCATCCGTCTTCTATTAATTACTAATTCCGTTTATCTTTGCTTCTACTTCTTCTTAAAAGAAGTGAGTTATTTGTGCATAAGAAATATAATAACAAAATGCAAATAGAAATTCGAGAAAGCTTTTATCAGACTTTTTATGATGTTCAATTCTCTTACTTAAATCCATTTTATTAACTTTATTTTTATATAAAATTTAACAGAGACATGGAAACAGACCGGTGGAAATGTGTTTGGACTGGTAACATATTGTACTTTCTGAACATTTAGACCAGTGACTAAGTTTTCTTACCCCTGGGAAGGTTGTCTTCCCCTTGGATAAACCTCCCAATACTGTTTTTCAGAGAAATGACACAAACAATGTATTTGGAAACTCTTTATTTACTTTAATCCCAGCTTCAAATAAATCTATATGTTCACTTTCCTATTTACAAATTTACACTTCCAATATAAAATAAATAATCACAAAACACATTTTTAAATCAACAATTAAATCTGCATTATAAGAATCCTTTTAAAAAAAACAACATCCTTATCACATTCACACTCTCCTCTAAATAAGACATTTTTTTAAAAAAGAAAAAAAAAAGCAAAGGGCATTATTGGAAACAAAATATTAAAATACACTGTCATTATTTACAAGAATAAAACAATGTAACAAAATTTTTGAAACACTTACTTATATATATAAATTTATATAAACAACAATGAACAATTTTTTACCCTTCCATTGCAACCTATCATCTTTGATGGTTACAATTTAAAAACTGGCAGCCAACTTGAGATTTTAAAATGCTTGTAATAATGACTGAAAATAACATTGATGTCAATCACGATAGGAAAGCTTTTATAACAATTTTTTAAAAACACAAATGGAAAAGATTGCAGTTTTTGAAAGCATTTTAAAGTCTGCAGTTAAAGTACTCTTCTCAGATGCAACAAAAGTCAAAATTTTGATATTTTTTTAAATAGAAATTTTTTTATTAAACTTCTAGAAAAAGGTTGATTACTTTGATATTATAAACTTTAAAAAATAACTGGAGAGTAGACATTGAAAAAAGTTAAAATACAAGTATATATATATATATATTTGCATTGAAATAGACCTGAAGTAAAAGAGTAAAATGCACATCATTTAGTTTCAGTAGTAACAGATATTTTAATAACTTCTGATTAATTTTCCTCCCCTTCTTTGAAATGTCATTTCAACTTCTTTTTAAAGTCTTCAAATGTGAAAAATTTATGAAAAGAAAAAAATTGCAGTTATACTTCATAATATTTTTTTTTTTTTTTTTTGCTGCATGTATATTAGACAATATTATAAGCATTCTCTATGAAAAAAAAATTTCAAATTGCACCATCAACAACATTTTCAGTATATATTTATTCTGCACACTTTAAATCTTCACTTCGGAATGTCAGAAGCTTCTAAAATTATAAATATCAATGAACTTTAATTAGAGTGGACACTTTAAATAAATCACACTTTAAACAACAATACAACTTTCATCATGCACATTCACATGGAACAAACTAATAGAGTTTCTCTAAAGGCAGGCACATGTGGTAACTAGTTGAACTCAATAATGCATTTTTTAAGTCGATATTTTTTAAAATAATATTGAACATTAAATTTTTTTTATGACAAATGAAAGTGATATAAAAAAATCTAAAGTATCCTACAAGAATAGAGGAAGTTAGAGAAAAAGTATAAATTGAATGGGCTAAGTAAAAATTTGAGTTAGTGAAAAATTCACCCATAAGTTGTAAAATAAATTCGAAACTTGTAGTTTCAAACAGCCATTTAATTAAAAAAAAATTGCAGAGCAATCGCCATCCCTACAACGTTGACGGCCTCTTTTTTGTGCTAATACAGTGGAGCGTCGATCATCAGGATTGAGGCTGATCTAGTCACCTGAAAATTTGGGTAATCAACAAACTTTGAAGAAAAAAATGTACCATAACTAATACAGAGCGGGTCTATCTATACAACTGATACTAATTTTAAAAGCAAATCACTAATTTATTATTTTTTGATACAGTTCACGCGATAATGACAATGTGCACTATGTATTTGCCATTTTGCTTTTTTTCCTTCAATGTCAATTTCTTTTTGTAATATTAGCATAATACCTATGTATTTTCCAGGCATGTTTGAAAATACCTCTTATAAACCTAAAATACATATTATAAAAAATAGACACAGTACTCTAACATGTGTTTCAAAAGTAAATGAAACTAACTCCTCTGCTTTCTAATTCTTGAAAAAAGAAACTTATAATGCTTTCTTCTACTTCCCATTCTCACAGGCAGAATCAATGCCTTCTTCTAAGGTCACCAAGTGTCTTCTACTCTTACAGAGAATTTATAGATTAAAATGGATTTTGTTCAAATATCAAAAATGAGAAGGCAAAACAAATGGCCTTTAGTAGATGCAGTTTAAACAATATGGTTAAGGACATTAAGATTAACTGCACTCGACTGTGCTATATTTCAGAAACTTGTGGTCAATTCACTTTACTACAAGAATGTGTTTGAAATCAAGAAAGAAAAAAAACTTTACCACTAATAAAATGAGTGAATAAATTATTTCTCATTCACAATAATTTTACAACAATTGATATAATGATGCTTTGACTCTTTGCTTAAGTCAGATAAAGTACTGTGACATTAGAAAGAGGATCAATAAATGAGTTAAAAAAAAGTTTGTTTTGTTTCATTTACAGAGAATCAAGCCTAAGACTATGTTCAATTCAAGAACATAAAACAGATTGTTATGAAATGAATATATTACATATTATGTGTAATTAATATATGTACTGGATGAATTACTATTATGTTCAATATGAACACATTAAAGGCAACTATGAAAATAATGTAGCATCAATAGAAATAAGTTGTTGTTTAAAAAAAAAAAAGAAATGAACCTGCTTCAAACAAAAAGGAATCCAGTCACAGGTATGCGCTACTGCAAATTGTTAATTTAGCAAAAATATTCTAAGTATATTTAAAAAACTTACCAACTTTGTACATGATTCAGATGACATTCGTGCAAAACTTAGAGGGGGGGGGGATTGGCAAATGTTAATTGAAATTTTTTTAAAAAGTTAACAAAATGAATACAAACATAAAGAAAAATTATTTTATAGGTGTTGATCACTCAATAAAAATTTATCCTCTTGACAATATTTTATAAAATTTGTTTATAATTCTTGAAATTAAATAGTTTAAAATCTCAAATGAGATTTGAATCTATAGTTTATTTTTTATGGAAATAATAGCTTTTTTTTTTGGATAATGAAAAAAGTATTTTGATAATTTTTATTTAAACAAAATTTTGATAATTTTGTTTAAAAAAAATTAAATTATTTAACTAGGATAACACCTAAAAATTTTTTACTTCAAAGAATTTAAACGCAATCACAAGAGATTTAGAAGTATGTATATAAACTGTACGATACATATTAGATTAGTAAATTCCTTAAAAAAAGAAGAAAAAAAAAAGCAATTCTCCAAGAATTCACCACCTGGCTTTTTTATCAACTAATTAAGAGTCTATCCTTGATTAGTCTTAATTATGTCAACTGAAATGTTGCGTTTTCTTAAAAAGTATTTAGTTCTAACTTGCCACTTAACCCTGGAAAGAATTCCCTTACATGTAAATAATATTAAGTAAAGGAGAAAATTTTTAGAAAAATTGTGGTAGAAGTGAATTCTATAACATTATTACAGAAAGCCTGAAAAACAGGCTGTTTTCAGATCTCAATAGCCTGGGTAAACAAGTCACCTCAAAGTTATAGAACCAGACCATCTACCATGATACATAAATAAGCTAATCAACACAAGCTTAAATTTTGGTTAAACTTGCTTTGAATGATAGGAGTAAAGGTTGGAAAAGTTTTCATGACATGCCAGATCTGTAAATGGGATGGAAAACTTTGGAAATAGCTCTTGGCAAACTGTGAACGTTAACGAGTGAAAAGGAAAAATGCAGAGAGATTGAATTTTGCATTCTTTCAAACAGAAAGGTTAAACAGGAAGACATTAATGAATTTCTGACTGAGCCCATAAGAAGTGTTTACAAATGTATAACAATTTTTCATACTACAATATTCAGTCATTTAGTTGTATGCTATAAGTTTTATGAATAGAAATTTCAACAGAATACAAACTCTAGTTAAGGTCATGTGTCTACAAATATTAATGGAAATAAATAATTGGTCCCCTGCTTAGTTTTTAATGTGAGCAATTTAGTACAAGGTATGAACGCTAAGTACAAAAACACAGATTTATTATTTCTAACTTTTAAGGTTCAATTGAAGTAACACTAGTGGAATGTCAAAAATTTCAAAGGTTAGTGCAAATAATGAAGCCAAGCACACATATCTTTAAAAAATACATAATGGTATATTCTCTATGTGTGTGAAAAACAAATAGAAAACTTGTTTTTTCAGGAATCGGGGGCAACTTATTTGTATTTTCAAAATTAAATGTACAATGGGTGCCAATGTTAAACATGCAATGTTATTTTTATTTTATTTTATCTTTATATTTTATATTCACAAAATAAATGATCACTAGTTTTAGACAAAGGAAAGATAACTTTACTTTTAAACAAAAAAAAGTTACTTAATGCAGTTACATTTAGTTTGCCACATATAAACGACAAAGAATTTTATTTTACTTTTTAAGAATATACCTTTTAAAATTCGAACTATAAAAAAAATTAATGGATAAACAATCAATAAAATGTGCTTTTAATTCATAAAAATAATAATTGTTGTGTAATTTCTTTTGCAAATAATGAGGCATTTGCAAGTACAATAATAAATTTCCTATTAGCATAAAAGGTTACATTCTAAGAAAATTTTTTAGAAACCAAGTGTTAATACTGCAATTACTTTTTGCTAATTTAAATGTTAGCAAAGTGTGACTACAGAAGAATAGGCAAATGAAAACATCAGAATTCCAAAACAATTAAAAAATAAATAAGCTACTAAACGACTAACATAGAATCAATTTGTACATTCAGACTAAGAATATCAATTACAGATAGGATTTCTCAATGAATTTTGATCACAGACATGAATAGTTTACAATTTACCTTTAACCATTTTTGTAGCACCCATGAGAAAATATAAAAACAGTATTTTAATTGACAAATTAACTTTAAAGTTTTTTTTTAAAGAGAAAAAAAACTGATATCAGTTGTTAGAAAACTTAACAAAGCAATCCCGTTTCCCTTTTACTTCCAAAAAAAGAAAAGTTTAAGGGAAAAAATGCAATAATAATAATTTTTTTTTATAAGTTTGACACATTTAAAGCAATAATTTTATGACACTGAGTTCTAAGTTTGTAAAACTTAGTATATAATATAAAAGTAAACAACATATATTGTTTTCAAATTCTCTTGCAGGGATGTTAAATAAGTAAATATAATATTTTATATAAAAACACAATGTATTTGTATAAATAAACATATTTTTCAATGCAGCTGACAACCCATAGATTTTGAGAGAGAAGTATTTATCTGATACAAATACCATTAAAATACTTCATATTTATAATTATCAAAAAGCAGGTTTTAAAGTCCTTCAAAATGTTTTCAAATAATTTGAAATGTCTATTTTTTAAATCAAATAAGACACTGAACAAATAATTGAACTGAAATTAATTCTTTTGCATAAGGTCACCAGTAACTTGGACTAAAACAACACATTATCTGGTCAGGCATAAAGAATGTTGAATGCAATTCAACAAAAAGTACATAAAACAATTTCTAAAATACATTTGATACTTAATGACTGGATTCTTTTTCAGCTGGCAACAAATGGTTCAAAGAATTTTTTTTTGTGTGTTTATCACCTGGCCATTTTATAGGCTGGATTCTTTCCCTTGACAGGCAATGGATGAGCTTCTGTGTTTAAAACCCATGCATCAAGCGGGATGAGGTCATCATCAGAGAAAAGAAGGTAGAGATACTTCAAGGTTTCTGCCAGGAAAAAACTCTGTTGAACGTCATCTTTTGCACTGTCCAACATGTAAACATTTTTCAGGCCTGAAAAACCTCCATCAACGCGACAGTGCTTGTCAATAGCCTTAAAGTAAAGTATTGATATCCATCAGATAAAAGATTTTAATACATTTAAGCTTTAAAGTAGGGGATGGGGGAGCATATGAGGTGAAAATTGGATAATCTTTCTTGACTTAAAACTAATAAGAATTCAAACATGACACTAATATGTCAAACATTTGGTAATATATATTATATTATATATATATATTATACATNATATATATATAGCATAATAAATAAATACAAAAAACACGAAGAAAATTCAGAAAAACAATAAGTTTCATTTATTGCGCAGTAGCTGCAAGTAAATAGAACTCATAAAATAAGTTCAAAATGAAGATAAAACAAAGGAAAATTACAGACTAATGGAAAAAGGGGGGGAATAAAATAAATAATAAAAATAAAAAAGCACTCTCTTTTGCGGATATAATCGTGTGGGCTGATGAAAAGATTATATCTTTTATTTTCTGGATTTTTTTATAAGAATTCTACCCTTTTTTTCCCTCCAGTTTTTATATTTATTATTTACTTTCTTTCCCCCTTTTTTCATTAGTCAGTAATTTTCCTTTGTTTTATCTTCATTTTGAACTTGTATTGATTACTTTAGCTGTTATTTTCAATAATTACACAAAGTTTTGTAAACCTAAAGTAAATAATTATAGAGATTTGGACATTTTCATAAAAAATTAATTTTTCTCACATTTTTATTATAACTTTATATATATTCAAAGGAATTAAACAAAATTTTTGGAGAAATTTAAGATTAATTACAAAATTGTCGATTTAAAAGTTTGAAAAAGTTCGTTAAAAACTGCACAAGTTATAAGTATTCAAGCTAGTTCCTTTATACTAGCACATGTACTGAAAAATTGTTAAAAAGTTTCTTTATAATTTTGCAGTGAATTGTATTTGGCAACATATAAAAGAATTTATTAGGATATTTGAAAAGGTTTCAAGAAATTTTTAAGAAGTTTTTGTACTTTTCAAAAGAAAGCTCAAACAATCAGGGGTTTTCACAAATTCAATTTTGCATCATAAGTCAAAATTTAATAACAAATGACAATATTCGTCCGGAAACTAAACTTTGAGAAAGAAAATATGCAAAAGAAAACACACTTTTATGGGGTGTGTCTCATTTTTAATAAATCTTGTTTAATAGTACAAGAAGAAGTATGTGGATAACCCCTTATGGTTTTCAGCTTATCTTTTAAAAAGTACAAAAACTACTTAGAAAATTGTTTGAAACTTTTTGAATTAAGATATTAAAAGAAAGCTTTTACCATTAGTTGTCAAATACGATTTCCTATAAAATTATAAAAAACTTTTTTAAATTTTTTTCTGCGCATACACAGTATAAAAGAACTAGATTAAATACTCACATCTTGAGCATTTTTTTTTTAAATTTAAAAACAACAATTTTTTAATTAATCTTAAATTTCTCCAAAAATTTTGCTTTATATTGAATATTTATGAGTTTATAGCAAAAAAATGCCCAAGCTACAGAAAAAACTATTTATTAAATGTTGAGTACACTTAAAAGTAACCTTTTTTTCTACGGAAAAATCCTTTATACTTTGTAATTCCGTACAAATCTTACATTATTAAAACAGTTAGGAAAGTTGCAATTGAAAAATGTTAACCAATATCATAGTAAATCAACATTCTTACTTTTCTTGCACAAAAAATTTTTATAGCTGGGAAGTCTTAGTCATTTTCTTTTGTTTTTAATAATACAAATTATCATTTTACACAAAATCATTTGATATTATTATTTGCTATTTAAGCCATTAAAAAAATTATTCATAAATATAAAAAATTAAGTGCTTTATTATTATTATAGTATTGTTGTGATAGAATAATAATAATTTGTTTAAAAGTTATTTTACATTCCATCTTAATTAACTGCAAATACTTCCTCAAGTTCCTAAAGTGAAATATTCTATTTTAATTAAAATATGATTCTCGTTTAACTTTATTTCATTCACATCCTTAGGAGAAAAAATTTAATTTTTTTTTACCTGCTATATTTTTTAAAGTAAGTTTTGAGTTAAAATATTCAAATCTAAGACCATTTTTCCAGATCTCATGACCAATTATCACCACTGAAAAACGTGGTAAGTTAAATGTTCTATATTAAAATACTTTGGAAGATCAATTATTTAAAAACACTTACCTGAGCAGCCTCCCATCCCCACTGCCTGTACTTTGGGTCTTTAGTGACTCTCCAAAGAACAAAATAACTCTCAATGACTTCAGGCCTCTGAATGTAGTATTTCTCATTTTGTTTCAGGGCTCTTGCCTCACTTGCATCAGAGAAACGGAATGATTCAGGGCCTAATTTTGTAGCTGAGAAAAAAAAAAAAACATTTTTAAAGCTTTTTTTCAATATTCACCTTTCGCAGTTCAATAAAATATAACAAGAGTTTTCAGCATATTAGTGTATTTAAAGAAGTAAGTATAGCAAGTTTTCTTCTAATTCTGTAAAATAAGTGTTTTGTTTGATTCTATGTCTCTTCGAGGTTCCCTTGTTTTCTGGGTTAAACTCAAAATTAGAAGGTTAATGAAGATGAATATTAATAACCCTAAATCCGACCTAGATCCATTTTTTCAACACTATTGAAAAGATAAAATTCAATCTCAAGTATAATTTCCCCCTTTTTTTGGCAACAGAATCTTAAAACTTAAAAAGACTGACTCTTTGATCATCAACATTTGATTCAAATATGACTAATATTTGCAGTGTTTTGCAAAAGGAAGCGAGAAGTTTTTTTTCCCCTCTTGCAAAACATATCAAAATGAGTCAAAGTAATAGTAGAAGCAAGAGTAAAGAGTGAAAAAGGCCTCAGAGGTGTTTTAAAATAGATTAAATAATAATGCTGAAAAGTTTATGATGATTTTTACTTTATAGGGTTCATACTTAATTAGGAGAAATTTCCCCCTTCACTTTTCCAGGTCCATTTGCAAAACAAAATTTATATTTAACAAAAAATGAATTATATTTTATTACTCTTAAGATTAAAAAAAATTTTTTTAAATAATAATAAAAAATAAAAAAATTGGAAAAGTAAATTAACTAATGCCTATGATTTACATTGAACTATTAAAACTAAACATTTAAATTATCTGATTCTCTAAAAAAATAAATGATAATCCATTTAAAATATGATATAAAAATAAATTATTAAGATAATTTGTTAGGCTTTAGATTCTAAATAATAAGAACAAAAAATATAATCTTTCTACATTAAAATTTTTTTTCAAGTTTTTAGACAAAGCTACACATAACATTTTGAAGTATATAGCGATTACCTTAAAAGCGAGGTCATTTTAATTGCATAAGAAACAAAAATGTTGGGTAATTGAGCTCAGTATAATTAGTATGGAAAAAAGTTTATCAGAATACGTGACTTAAAATAATTATAACAATAATCTATTTTTCATACTATTAACCTTCCGTTAGTCGCGCACTTGTTTCCGACATGGTTAATCGCGTTGCACCTGTGAGGTGTTTCTGATTTTTTGAAAGCCAAATGAAATTTAGTCTAGTTTAAATAGTTAATTGTTACCAATTTAAGACTCTTTAGAGAGATAAATATCAAAAAACTTATTTACCGAAGTACCGAAGATAAATTTTTCTTGCTCCCGCGTCGGATCTCTTCCTCCATCACAAGATGTTCAACCAATTAACGCAAGAAGGTTCTGCGGTTTTTTACTCCGTAACCATTTTCTGTGTATATAACTTGACCATTTATACCTGCTACGTTGAGTAGGACAGAAAATGAGATAAAATATATATTTTTAATTCATAAAAATATTATATCCATAATACTTGCGTCAATGGTCGCGCTGCACCAGAAGGGTGATTTGAGCGGTTCCAACTCTCCATCGACATGTTCTAAGGTCGGTTTTGCATGGACATTTGAGTAATCCAAAGTTAGGAACATAACATTAGGCTCGACCCCCGGAAAAATCTATTGACGGCAAAGGAGGTGAAAGTGCAGTAGGGATGCACCTGTGAGGTGCGCGCGACTAACGGAAGGTTAATATCTATGATGCTATTATAGGCATAGGTTGTGACGCTATTTTTGGCATAACATATTTCCTATCTTTTATATTTCCTTCATTTCATAAATTTAATTTTTTTAATTATTTCTAATCCTGCTATAATTAAATTAAATCAATCATTTAATTTTTATCCCATTTTATAAAAAATGAATACTATTATTATTTATTTTAAATCAATATAACAGATAACTTTTTATTCAATATAAAACATAACTTATATTAACAATTTATAACTTGTGTATAGCTCATTAATTCAGTGTTGCTAGGAAACAAATATCAAAATTTATCTTTTATCTTTTCTTTCTTGAAGCTCCTTTATTCTTTTACCACAAAAATATTTCGATTACAGGGTTATATTGAATTCAGACGTTTTTTCCGGGGATTACTTTGTAGCCAGATTATTTAAAATTTAATGTTAATAACGTGGCATTATTTTAAGCTGTATTGTTTATCTATAACTTGACAACTGTTGCTCCTCAGCTTCAGTTAGCATGTATGCATTCACTTGTTATCTGAATTCGTTGGAGTGAGGGTAGGGGTTTTTTTAGGGCCTATCAGTTAAATATTTTTAAAAAAGTTGAAGAGAAATCATTATCCCTATATTTATGTTACAAAAATTTTCAGCTCAACATTTTGAGTTCCTGAAGAGTATCTCTTAGAATAGCGCCATTGTGAACTTTTCAGTGTAACTTGCTAAGTGAAAGAATGTATTTGATTTTCGCGCACTTTTTCCCATAAAATAAAGTCAAGATAATTTTAGGATCCACTATCCTCATGGCTTAACAGATATGCTAACCAATTAGATGCCGCTCAGTCAAATGACAATATTTTTTTAAATTATTGCACTTAATAATGGACACGTAAAAAAGAATGAAATATTTTGCAACAAAAAATTATTAGTCTTATTTTTATTGCTTGTTCCCAAACTTCCACATGGAAATCACACAACAGAGAGGTCATTATCAACTACTAGTAACAAATTATTTAAATCAACTTTTGATAGGTATTGAAGATGATCTATTTCGATTTTCCGCAATTATTTTTAAAGATTGCACTCAAAAAAGTGAATGGGAAAAAAAATTCACAATTTTCTCAATCTGCTTGCTTTCATTTTAAAGTTTAAATACTTAATACATATTTTACATATTCATAAAAATTAATGTCAGATTTTAAGTTTATATTTAATTCATACATTAATAGAATATAAATTAATCTATGAAGGGAAAATAAAAAAAATAAAGAATAGTTGTTCTTATAGTGAGAGCTTTGGTGCCTAATGGATTAAGATAAGGAAAGAGTTGTTAAGAATTAAGCAGAAAAGGAACATAAACATAAAATCGCATTATATGCAAATTATTGAATGGCCCTGTAAAACTTTCATTAAAATCTTTCAACAAAAAAATAAGCACCTCTTAAGCACTCAAAAAGTATTAAGCACTATATACATTAACAAAATGCAAAATAATTTTGAAAGACTTTAGATGATCATGAGAAAATAACTAGTTACTGACAAAGAACTCTTTATTTTTTTTATTATATCAGCTGTTATAAAATGATCAAGAGATTTTTGGTTCGATATCAGAGGGTGGAAAATGAAGTCTGAAATTGAGAATATCTTGCAAAATGCAGCAGAGTTGCACGGGAAAAGGTAATAATCTCTCCGAACCCAGCTCTGTAGACGCACATATGGATTTGCAAGTATTTCATCAAACATGTAAAATAATTGGCACTGTCATACGCTAGAGACCGAGGGTACACTGAAATGAATCGTGAAAACGTTGAATAGAACAATGTGAAAAGCATACTTTTGCATAATACGTGGCAAAAATCAACATGGTAACAAAAAAAAATCTCATTTTTCAAAAGGGAAAATTAAGCACTATTGTGTTTTTAAAAAAACACAGAATGAAAAAAAAAAACACCTTTCAGGGCTTTTTAAAAAACAAAAATAAGCATATTTAAGCAATTTTTAAAAATGATATTCACCATGATTAATTATTGAATTGTTAATTCAATACAATCATACATGCTTAAATTTGCAAAAATTACCAAGCTTTAAAATTTATGAAGTACATATCTAGGGTACCCCCTTAATTAAATATTTTGTTAATTCTGTGATCATTAAAATCTTTGCATCAATTTTTTTAAAATAAAGTGATATAGAAATTATTTAAACTTTTTGAAATGATAAATTTAAATCATTTTTAGATTTGTTATTTCATATGCTTAAAATATGAAAGATTGCCAAGTTCAAATTTTATAAAAATTGAACCATTGAGGATTTTTTTTTCCTTTTTCATAAAATAACTCAAGCATACTGAAATTTATGAAAATTACAAAGCCAGTAAGATATAAAAAAAAGATGACTTGGGTACTTTGTGCGATTTGTGGATGGTCCCCTGTAGACAAATTTTATTAATTTAGACTTTTAATTAGATTTTATATTACTTAATCAATAAGGGAGATGAAAACTACAAAGTGATAAACCTTTAACACTACCTGCCCTAAACCTAGATTAGTGAATGATCCCAAAGTTCAATCATCACGTTATTGAACTACACATAAAATTACTACAATACCATTGGCTTTCCAGCACTGCAACAAACATAGGTCATCAGGTCAGAAAATAGGACTAGTAAGAAAAAATTTTAACTCTAAGTTTAGCCCTCCAACTTCTGGGAGGGCTGGAGACGAAACCAGTAAGTCAGCCATAAAATGTGGATTGATATAATTAATTTCCCTCTAAAATTTTTTTTAAAACACTATTTTTAAAATGTGAATATAGAAGTTTTGAGTTTTCTTAAGACACTTGTATTCAATTGCAATCTCTCATCTATAGAAATGCTATAAGCATAAAAGAAGGATTTAGATAATTTAGCAATTGATTGCCTGTTTTTACCTTTAATATCATTTTGCATGAAATACTTGTGTTTTTTTAAAGATTTGATAGGGGGGGGGGGATTTCACAACATTCCAGGTCTTGAGATGAAATTAAGTTTTTCTCAGTTTTTTTTATTTTTTAAATCTAGCTTTTCATAACTTTTTTTCAGCCCTACTTTAATTTCCTCGATAAAAAAGAAATCAATTTTATCACAGGGCTGCAAAATGAGTATGATTGCGCTAACAAGGTTTGGAGGCAATTCAGGCAGCTCTGATGAAATTTTTTGTCCAATTAAAAAGAGAACAAATTACAAGAAAATTTTGTAGTAAAATTTTTTGTTACATGAATTACTACAAATATAACTTTATATGTCAGTTTGTTTATTTATCAGTTTTAATTCCTTAAGTTTATGAAATAAATTTTCTTTCTGTTAAAAAAAAATGATAAACAAAAATTTTTTTACAATATGCAAAACATTACTCTCTGAAAGAATTTCGAAACAGTTATAGTATCTAAAAAATAAAACTCTCTAATTTTGGAGAAATTTCATGCCATAAAAACTATGTTCTGGGGAAATATTGGGCTCAGAATTTTCTGCACCCCTGTATTATCATACTGCCGATATTCTAAATAGGGAGGAAACTGTTAATTTACTATTTGAAAAATCTTTTATGTATATAAAAAACTAATTTTTTTTTTAATACATTTATACATATAGGTTTTGGGTCTGAATAATATTGAGAGAAGAGTGAAAAATTTTAAATAATGAGTAACTCAAGACTTATAATCAAAAGTATGCAATAAAAAGAGGGACCAGTACATAAGTGAGTATGTACATACTAACCAGTTCTGTCATATGATTCATGACAGGTGTGAGTTAAATCTTTGCCCAGTTGCAAGAAGTACTCTTTACGGTTGGGAGGCATGTACTCGGACCCAATTGCAAAGAAGCCACCTAAAATGCACAAAAATTGTTTTTAAACACACACATCTGAAAACAATGTTTATTCCAAATAACTCTTTTAAAGAAATTTAATGGAATATTCGATTTCATTATTGTTGACTGCTAAATCTACAATTTTTTTACCTGCCTGACAAACAATTTTCCATAAATCACATTCTTTTTCAAACAAAATCATGAAGAAGATATAACCTTCCTCTGACAAGTGATCTTTAGAGTGTAAAAGGCTGATTTCTCAGCACAGGAGGAATTTCAGTTCTTGCTTTTTGAATAAACCAAATTTAAAATAACAATAATAAAACATATTTAAGATATCCTTTAAATCATATAAAGTTTCATTTAATACATAGTATTTAAGATCTAAATTCAAAAAATAATTAGATCAAAAGATTATCTTTGAATACAATTAAGCAGAAATCTGGCAGTAGTGAGCAATTTGAATTAAAAATTATAAAAAAAAATTTCTTCTTACTAAACAAACTCCAAGTTTGCTTTTGATGGTCAAGAATGAAAGACAACTTAGATTTCTCAAAAGTACAATTAAAAAGCTCTTATAAAAGTAAATAAAAATAAACGCTTTTATGGACTCCAATCAGAAATCTTCAATACTTGTTTATTTGTTACTTTATGTATATAATTGGTTATATTCATGCATTAACAAATAGTTTTACTTGTGTTTTAAAAGTGAAACTGAATCACTTACCAGCAAAGCAAGCAAGATGATCCATTTTATGCTCAATTCTGTCATATTTTAAATCAGCTAAATACTTCATGCCACTTTTTGAAGTTTGAACAAGCTTATCATTAATTGCCTGTTGAAAGATGACACATATGAAATAATGAATGATTTTCTACATGATCAATGCCTTTTAACTATTTAAATAATTCATTTCCTTACTAAACACTAAGAACTCTTTTTTAAACATCATTACACAATTAATACCATCAAAATTACCAAATAACAGCATTAGAACTGAATGTCTATTTATATATCAGTACAGTTACCTAAGAAATAAATCGACCAGCATATATTTAAAATGTTCATTTCCTTTTGGATTTAAAAAATTTTTTTCGATCCAAGTATTAGATTAAAATATATTTAATGAAAGAAGTTGTAACCATCATTGTATACACACATGATTCTTTTAAGACTGTTAAAAAGAGCTTTTACATATTTTAAACATTTATATAGGCTTTTCTTAGTAAACACTTTAGACATATCTCTCAGTTCTAGACTTTAATGGGGATAGGTGGAAAAATGCATCATTATTCAGTTTACAAATCAAACAAAAAGGTAGAAACTATTCACTTTAATTTTTTGAAAGTTATTGTCAAGGACAAAACAAACTTCAAATTCACTTTTTCTGATTTCTTACAATCCCAACAATATTACAGCGATCCATTGCTCCAGCATCCTTGGTTTTCCCTCATGCATCGTCTTGTTTTATTGATCCCATCGCAAATGCTATTCTCAAAATTTCTGAAACTAAAATTTTCTGCGTCTATCAAATATTTTACAAGCATTCAAAAAAATATATATATATATTATTCCATTTTGCTGATAAAAAGACTATATCTTGATGCTAATTTATTTTAGTTTGAGGAAAACACTTCAAACATCATGTTTATGCATCAGTTGATGAAAATGCTTTTGTGGTTGAATCTATTAATTCATCAGAATTTTTTTTTTTTTAACGCTCAGGATTCCTGATATGACTGACTTAATGCATCATCATCTACCCATATTAATTGTCTCGAGAAACTTTTACAAGTTTTTTCTCCCTCTTTCTTAAACTGCTTCTAAATTGAAAAGAGCACTGCACTCTTATCGCGTAAGTCTTTCAAATGTTTAGAACAGCTTCATCATTAATAATTCGATCTATGGGAAATAAATTTAAGGCTGCTCTTTTTTTGTTGCCTTTTTAGTGTCAGATAATCGAAATGTCCTATCTCTGCATGAAACAAAAGAAAGACTAATTTACTTCAGAAAGTTCTTGGAACATCTGGAGCGCCAGAACATCTTCTCCATTCGACTGAATCCAAGACTTCAAAAGGTATTCGTAGAAGCTGTCACCAAGAGCACCCATAGACATGTGATCTAAAAACACATTTAAGTTACCATATTTTGTCACAGAATTATGAAAGAAAAGATATCAGTTTTTGCAAAATCAAAGCAAGGAATTGAATTTAAGAAAATTCAAAGTACAATTCTACATCAAACAATAATTATAATAACTAAAACAATAATTATATCACAATATTTAAGTAGATTAAAAACTGCCTGCATTAAAATAAATACAGGGTATCAGCAACATTTCAGATTTTCAAATTCATGACTTTTCATGACTAATTCCTAGAATTTTTCATGACTTAACGAAGCTACTATTTTCTCCAACAAAAACGTAATAAGAAATTTTAAAAAGCACTATAATAACATAAATTGAAATGATAGGTATAACCTAGGGGTGCACAACCTTTTTTTGAGTTAAGGGCCACATGCAGAGCAGATTGGCCAATGAAGGGTCGCATGCCAAAGTATAGAAACAGACATATTGACAGCAATTGCAGGTAGTAATTGTTATATAAACATCATTGTTCTTGGCACTAAATTCTTTTTGTCAGTTAACCTTGAAATATCTTTGCATAAAATTAAATAATTTTAAATGTTTAAAATTAGAAACTGCAAAACTGATTACTTAGGAAGAAAGAAAAAAAACAGAATCAGAAAATCAGAATAAATTTATCAGAAATTTTTTTTAGATAATTGAAATAATTAAAAATTATGGAAAAATTCATGTTTTTTTTTATCATATTACATGATACAAAAGTCCATTTAAACAAAAATTTTAATATTAAAATATTTGTTCATAAAATTAAATTTAAAAAAAAATTCTAGTAATTAAAATAAATGCAATTTACTTTGATTTAAAAAAAGTTTATAGGGTTGAAAATGATTAAAATTAAAACAAAACCTTCTCAGTGAAAAATAGGATTTATCATTAAATAGGGAACATACTTTAAAACATTTATTTTAAATTAATTATAAGAGGCAGGGGTTGAAAGAGGGAAGAAAAGGAAAGGAAAAAAATTAATTTTGAAGGAACTATTTTTCTTAATCATAAAAAACTATTAAGATACTTGTTTAGAAATTTTTATGACGAATATTTTTTTAACATGACACTTTTACAATTTATACACATATATATTAACAATTAATAAAATTTACATTACTTTTCAAAACTTATCTTAATTACATTTTTTAAAATTAAAATTTTATGATATACAAATCAATTACCAGCATATGATCATAAATGATATAAAATGGTCTAAGTAGGTAGAAAATGGTTTAAAAAATTTCTTAATGGTTATCCTGCAATTTGCAAAGTTCTTAAATATTGTGATAATTTTATCTCTCGATCATGTGATACCTTTTTCAAACCATTAAATGGAAATTCAATGATTTTGTTTAAAGACTGCTCTGTAATTTTGAACAGGCCAAATTCATTCCAGAAAACAGTCTTCCGACAGAAGCTGTTGTTGTGGGTAGTATTAAGCTTAGGGCAAATGACTATCAGTTTTGGAATCTGTCCTAAATGGTAGTATTCTTTTCCTGATTTTTAAATTGAGTTAATACGCTATTTTTAAATTGCATGAAAACGAATTGCTATATATGATTTTTAAATTTCGTAAATTAGAAACGCGATGAGTGGTTTTCAAATCGTGCGAATACGGATCGAGATGTGTTAAATTACGAAAAGACAACTCACTACGTATGATTTTTAAAATACGTGAATATGAATCACGATACGTGGTTTTTAAATAGCGTGAATACGAATCTCGATGTATGATTTTTGAATTGAGAGAAAGTAACAACGTATGGTATTTTAAACGCCAGAACATAGATCGCTATATGTGATGTTAAATCTCGTGAATATAAATCGTGATGGAGGATTTTTAAATCTCGTTAACGTTAATACGAGATGCAATGTGTAATTTTGAGATAGCGTAAATACGAATTACGATATGTGACTTAAATTACCTAGAAGAATCAAAACGCAGGATTTTTAAAATGCGTAAACACGAATTGCGATATGTGACTTTTGAATCATGTGACAACAAAAACAATAGGTTGGGTGAATTTTGTTTTGAATTTTGCTTGGGTAAATTTTGTCTGGGTGAATTTGGCGTTTTGAATTATTTTTTTGCAAAAGGGACCGCGTTTAATATAAATGTACACATTTTGTTTGCTTTTTTAAATTTTTTTATTTTCTTAGGGAAGGCGTTTATTTTGCCAAGATACGTAATTGCTTTTGAAGTTACATAAAAAATTTGAAATAGAATTTCACGAGTTGTAATATTCTGCTAAAATATCAGGATATTCCAGATCACAAGTAAAAATGCAGCAATAACGAAAAAAAACAAGCTCGAAAAACTTCTTATATTTATGTTAAAATTGGTACAAAAATTACTTATTTTAATGCGCGATTCAAAACTCCCGTGCTATCAAATTATAGCATTAAAGATACAGTCAGTATCGGTTATATGGTCAGCTCATGGGTCCAGAATATTATGACCATATAAGCGGTGTGACCATATATGCGATAACCAAATATATAGTATAGTTAATATGGCGTGAATATATTCTGGAATCAGAATGTATTTTTTAAACAAATAATTCAACTTTCAAAAACGTTTCAAAATTAATTATTAAGGTGCATAATAAGAAAGAATGTAAAAATAATTTTTATACTTTAAGAAAAATTTAATTCTTTACCTTAGCATATGTACATGCTCAAAAAAAATATTCCAATAAGCTTGTCTGTTTCTTCTTCTTGGTTGTTAAAACAAATTTCTCTAAGTCTCTGATAGTTTTCAAATGTTCATCTGCTGCATCTGAATTTGCAAAAAAAACCTCAAGTCATCTATAGCCTTAAGAGTATCAGCTGTCGATACAGACTTTTTATTGCAATCAGTATCATCCTCATCGTCACTTCCTTCAGCATTCAGATTTAAGACATTAGATACAATATCTTCCACAGTTGCTTCACAATTAGTGAGGACATCAACGTCTATTTGGGAATACAAATTTACGCCCGGCATTGCATAGTCTTGCTTTCGAAGATTTTCTGCCAATTCAGCTAATGGAAGATCTTCCTCATGGTCCTCTAATGATACCGAAGAGTCTGGAGAACTGTGTAACCCCGCGTGACGGAAACAATTTTCAATAGTTTTCAACGACACCATGTTTCAACTTGGTCAATATAGAACAGTGCGTTCAAAACTGAAACGTGAAATTCTTCTTTTCTGTCGATGGCGGTGATCATATCCCATAGAAGAAGCTTTCTATACATAGACTTGAAGCTTTGAATTATGCCTTGATTTAGAGGCTGCAACACATGTGTGCTGTTTGGAGGCAATCGATTTCAAGCCCTCAACAGGACAGTGAGCAGTGCAGTTATCAGCAATCAATGCAACTTTTCTGTTTTTCTTTGAAAAATGTAGGTCCCACTTTCTGAGAGTTTTTTTCCAGATCGTTTGGGTCATCCATGCTTTGGAATTGGCATCGTACAAAAGGGGCAAAGATTTACAATTTTTCATGCATCTCGGTTTCAGAAATTTTTCAATCACCAAAGGAATCATTTTCTCTGAACCATCCATGTTTGCAGATAACAAAACTGTTAAGCGTTCCTTACTTTTTTTTCCGCCTACACATTTTTCTCCTTTGAAGCAAAGGGTTCTGTCGGGTAAGATCCTATAGAAAAGTCCACATTCATCGACGTTGAACACGTTAGCAGGTTCATATCTTTCATGAATATCTCGCAACACTACGTCTTTCCATTCTTTTAAAGAACTGTTGTCAAAATCAGCAGCTTCTCCGCACAATTTCTTAAAGAATAGGTTATTTCTTGCATTGAATCGCTGTATCCAGCCATTGCTTGCAACAAAATTTGATTCTCCTAGTTCTTTAGCTATTTCTAAAGCTTTTTCTTTTAGAATATTCCAGGATATAGGAGCATTTTGTGATCGTGCATATTTGATCCATGACAGAAGAGCCTTCTCCACATTCTCATAAGGTGACACACGCTGACGTTTTCTTTCTCAGTCGCTAATTGAAACATCTGGAGAACTACGTTTGGCTGCTAAAATGTTGTTTAAAGTTGTTCGCGGTATAGAATTTTCCTTGGCAAAAGTAGCTTTTGAAAAATTAGACTTTTTAAACTTTTCAACCAATAAATTTTTTTCCGATATTGTTAAATTATTTCTTTTTGAAGCCATAATGAAAGCATGGATACGTTATTCGTTCAGTAATCCAATAAAAATGTTCTTTTTTCTCAACTTCAACTCCTTTTCAAGCTCTGAGAGATAATTTCAAACGATCAAAAGACCCTTCTGCCCTTGGGCGGGGAAAAGAATGCGAGTGGTCAAATGAGGAGAAGGTAAGGTCATCAATGAATGCAAAAGAGAAAAGAGGGTAGGGTGACGAAATGGAGGGGGAAATTCCAGTTCTCTCCGGGAGTCGAAGGAATGTGTTTACCTTCTCGTAATTTTTCTTGGCTTCCTGTCTAAAGAAATGTCTTAAAATGTATCTTTTTTCAAAAGAAAAAAAAAGGAAACTGACCATATAAACGGTAACTCGAAAAATAGGATGACCATGTAAGTGGTGAGCTTTAACACGTGTTTTCTAATAAGTTAGACGGGACTTTAGAAAATTGACCATGTAAGCGGGGTGACCTTATAAGAGTGTGACCATATAGGCAGTACTGACTGTATCAGAATTTTTTTTTAATCACTGGAAAAAGCATAGTTATAACTACCAAAACAATTTATCAAAACCCCTTTATATTTACAATGAAATTGGCGTAAATAAAGAGCATCAAATTTTATGTATTTAAATGCAGGATTCGAAATTAAAGTCGCAATAACGTATAAAAAATATCGGTACTTCCAAAATCTTGTAGAAATGTGTAGCAATAATTGCCAAAATAACGATTGAAAAATAATGTGATTTGCGATAAAATCAGTACAAATAACTACGGCAAAAAGTGGTTAGCTAAATGAGCGATTCTTTACTCGCGATTTGTAATAATATCGTGCTAAAATACCGAAATTTTAAAAACCAAGCGGAAATGCGTAGCAATAGCTGCCGAAAAAAGGATCAAAAGTCATTTAGATTTTCCAAAACTGTTATACTCTTCATCTTCATATTTAAAGATTTTAAATTTAAAAAAACAGTAAAGAAAGGTTGAAGCAATAAAATAGCTGGAAAAAAAAGCAAATAATTTTTTCTGCTGAATTATATTCTAAAGATACTTTTCTTGTTCATACGAAAGGAAAGAAATACTCCTGATCTTTCTGTTCTCATTTCAGAATTAAAAAAAATTCGCCAATGACTGGCTTGCTTCAGCTAAAATTTTAAATAGATAAAATAAAAATAAATAATAACAAAAATCACAGAAGTTTAAAAGATAATTCGCTCTAGAAATGATATTTCTTCTTTCATTTTTTGAAAGAACACCATAACTTTTAAAGAACATGATAAAAACATTTTATATTTTAATAAAATATGACAGTGAGTGGGGATTTTATTACAAATTCTGATATTCGGAACACCATGAAATGGGGGGAACACCATGATTTTTTAAATTCCATTTTAAAAATTAGATTTTTCAGCAACCTAAATCCATGACTTTCTTAAAAAAATTGTTAAAATCATGACATTTTATGACAAATTTTGTTTAATACCAAAATTCATGACTTTCCAGGTGTGCGGATATCCTGCAAATATATAGGAAAAATGAAAATAAATTGAATCAAAAAATGCCCCAACATTTATTTTATAATTTTAGTTTTTAAGGCCTCTTAACACTTACGAAAAGAGGTGAGCAAATTTTAAATTAAGTTGGAAAAAAAATTATAAAAAAAGTAAAAATTTCAAAATCTTGTAATCTTACGGAAATAAGTCGCGCTGTATCTAATGGGGTGGCACATACGGTGTTTTTTTTTTTACTACTACTACTACTTGAGCTTGAAAATTCTGAGTTGATTCTCCAAACTTCCACCATTACTTTTCATCTTTTGCGGCGATCTATTTTTATAATTTACGATCAAGAATAATTTACAGAATTAACAATGCAGGTGAAAAACAGTTTAGGAAAATGTAACTGATGCTCTCCTCTTTAAATAAAGAAGTTTTTGATGAATTCCCCTCTGACAATCATCCCCAGAATACTCTCTTACAAGAATCAACAGATTCCCCCTCTTCCTTTTTTCTGCTACAGGTTTGGAAAAAATGCGAAAGAAAAATATACAATTTATTTTCTAAAGTGAATGATAGGGGTGGAACGCTTAAGTGATCTATATTGAAGATCAAGTTTCTACCCTCTTAAAGCTGAAGGACATCTTTATTTTTACTCTAGAAAATATAAGATTTCAAAATTTAGGGATGCTCGAGAAACATGATGAACATGTGGATAAAAAAGTAATGAGCAAACTGCTTTATTTATTCTATATTTAACGTTTATTTAAAAAATTTTAACAGTTTAATCATTTGATTTATTTATAACTGGGATATTATAAATTAATTGTAAAGGAAATAATGCATTTGTGTTCATTTGATGTTTCAATTTTGAGCAAAACGAGATTATTTGTTTCTTTTTAAACCTATTTTAAAGGTTTTTAGTTGTTTATCATTTGATAAGTTAAAATTTTAGAAATTTAAAATTGAAAAAAAGAAACAGGATGCCCCCGTGATTGTTTTGTGTTATACAATTTTGAGCAAAACAAGATTCATTTTTACAATATTTAATTATTACTAATATTTCGTTGCATAATTGTAATCATTTTTAGCTGTTTAATCATTTGATTTAAATAATATTTCACATTTGATTTAAATAATGTATCACAAAGCAACTTAAGGCAAAGCGATGAATTTACCATATAGTGAAACAGTATAGTGATAATGATATAGTGAATTGACCAAATATAGTGACCATAAAGTGAATTGACCAAGTATAGTGACCATATAATGAATTGCCAAAAGACAAATTGTACCATATAGAGCAGTGTTTCCCAACGTGATGCCCACGCCCCACTGGGGGGCAATTTGATGGTTAAGGGGGGCAATTCGAAAATGGACTCGACAAGAGTTTTACCTATTTGCTCCGGGCCATTTAAATACAATACTAGATTTCGGTGCCAACATTGTAAGAAAAAAGCAAATTCTTAAATAATTCGGTCAATGAATATTATAAACTCGTTTGATGAGACCAAAATATCAACTGGATTTTNAATTTTAGAAAGGCTTGAGTGAAGCACGGCACAAAAAAGGTTGGGAAACACTGATATAGAGCAATCATGATTGCTCTATATGGTACTATTTTGCACCTAGCAAGATTCTTTTCATCAATTCATTGTATTTTAAAAAATTATTTTAGTTATATTTAGATTATTTATCATCTGATAAACATAAAATTCAAGTGTTTTTTGGTATTCATTTACGTAATCTGTTTGCGATTGTGATGCATTTGAATTGAGCAAAATTGTACATGGTAGTACAATTTTACATACATTTGAAAAATTATGATAAAATTATCGAAATACATAATTTCCTTTCTGATTCTAAGAAATCTTGCATATATTAATTCATCGAATATTTTATAATTATTTTAAAGATGTTTTAAATGTCTACTTATTATTTTGTTATAAAACCTGTTATTTAAACAGATGCGTCAACTCTGCGATTGAGCACACAGTCAAATTTCATGCAGCGTATCTGATGGTGAGGCCTTTCTGATGAAAAACTTTTCTTTTCTTTGTTGTCAAATTTGACAGGTGCAGCTTATATCCTATGATGGCATATCTCCGCATATGAAAAACCATAAAAAGATGCATGTAATAAAAAGGAAAACTTACGTTGTCCCCACCTGCCTGTCTTCGGATTGAGGTAATTGGGGAAGAGACCCTGAGGTTTGTCCATCTTTGCAAGGACTTCTCGAATGTGGTTCACTTTCTCTTTGTAGACGGGGTTGCCCGTGATGTCACTGAGGTAGGTGAACTCCAAATGCATAGTCCCAAACTCCGCAAGAATTGAGCTTGAGCTGGAAGCCCATGCGTAGTTCTTACTTGCACCACTAAGAAAAATATAACATTATTGTAAATGATCTGAATTAAATTTGATAGATGGTACTGTAGTACTTTTTTAAAATTTGCATTTGGAATTGAGTAAATAGAATATGAATTTATTATTTACTGCTGTCTATTAATTCAAGAGACAGACACAATTCTTTGTTAAGTTACATAGCAATCAATGACAATAAAATATATGTTGTTTTATTAAACAGCAAATTTAATATAAATGATCAAAAATGCTCAGAGCCAATGTCTTTAATGTCACGAGCCTCTTGAGTGAACTGTAAGAGCTTAATTGAAACTGTGAAAACATGAATAATATCATGAATGCTATCATCACTTTTTAAAGGTGTTTTGTTTTTGAATAAAGCATTTTTTAATTCATATTTGTTTATTTAGATTAAAATTTGCAGTTCATTTGAATAATAGTTTTTCATTATTAAACTTGAAGTACAAATAAGAAACATTTTTTATTAGTTGACAGACACAAACATTGCTTTTTTTTCCTCCTTCAACTTTATCACAAACATAATAACTTTACCTCAAATAATATATCTGTAAATTTAATTAAAATACAGCAAGTAATGTTGCTTGTTATTCAAATGTTAATTAAAATATTATGAAACTTTACCTAAATTTGCCCTAAATTATGAGAGAATGTTAGCAATGTTTTTGAACACACAATCATGATATAGTAATTTCACTTTCTTTCTCAAATGTTTTCTCTTCTTTGTTCTGGAAGAAGAGGTTACAACAATGGTTCCCTGCATTCCGGGACTTTTAAAGAAATAAAAAGAACATAGCAAATGTTTGAACACATACCTCTTAATATTGACGAGTGCATAAGGTATTCCGGTGGGAGTATTGAAGGCAGGAAGAAGTTTCTGAGCAATGTGTTCAGCCTTTTCTTTGAACATCTGACAAGAAAAAAGTTGTTTCGTTATAACATATTGTTTAGAGTATCGATGTGCATCTTTATCAGTGAAGACATGTTTATTCATGTTGTAACAAATACAAAAATTATGTAAACATTAATGTTCCACTTAGTGTATTTATTGGCAGCATAATTTTGTTTTTACTTATGGAATTTGTAGTAATAAAAGAATAATAATTCTCATTATCAATTTTTAAGAAAAAGAAACTTCAAAAACATTCCACAGGAAGAAATTTGTGTCTAAAACTCGGACGAAGGACCCCATACCCATGCTTGCAAGTTTTTGACAACCTTATGTATAACCATGGTTTTATCTGTAATGTCAAAAAAACCTTTTTGACATAAATTTCGATGCATCAAAACCCCAAAATTTTGGTGTAAGGATAATTATTAGCTATTATAAATAAGAAATATATATAAATATACATATAAAATTATAAGATCATTTAATTATTCTCTTGAATTATTTTGACAAACTCTCTTTTGACTATTTCTGTCAAAAAATTAAATTTTCGTGTAGCAAATATGAAAGAATCATAAGTAAAAATGTGCGAATAACAATTTATCCAATCAGTTAATTTGTTAAACTATTGAAAATAAAAAATCAGAAATAATAAATAAAATAAAACATTTTCATTCCATTTATTAAATTTAAACGTAGTCAGCAATTTAAACCAAAAAAAAATTTTAACTTTTTAAATACATAAAATAATTTTTTTTTTAAATTTTCGAATAATAAAATTTTAGTATGAAAGCACTAGTTTATATAGGAATCAAATTTCATCCTTTAATAAATTAACACCATGAAAAAACGTAACGGATAAATAAACTATAGAAATTATAATCTAGCAAAGCTTTCTTTTAGTTAGCAAAATGAATAACTCTAAATGTGATAGTCGCAAATAATAATAACACAAGTTAAGAAAGAAAGTGAGAGTTTGCTTACCACATCACCTGTCATAGCATAGCATGAAAGCAATCCTCCCACAAATCTGATGTTGGTTTCAAACACAGATATTTCTGCACTCTGAAAATAAAAGGGTTTTCCTTTTAATTCAATACAAATTTATAATATTCCCCACACATAATTCAATAGTTAGTGAAGAATATGTTTTTATTTGAATTTATACACTTCAGAGAGCAATTTTTTAATTTTTAAAATTAGTACATTAAGTAAAACTGTCTTTCACAACAGTGAACAAAATAATAGCTTTCTTTTAAAAACTGATTTAATTATGATGCACACGAGGGTGGAAAGAATAGGACGTAAAACGATGATAGCTAGAAGTAAAAAAAATTACTTATTAGCTACAACCAATGTGAAAATCCAAAATAATAGAACTGTAGTTTTTCTGATTAGCAGATCAAAAAGTCTAGAAAGACAAATCAGGCTGATATCTAATCTTATTAGTAGTTAACATAAAAATATGATTTACCCCTGAGACAGTGAATCAGTATTTTATTTTCTTACTTAACAGTGCATGAAAAGAAAAGGGTTTCTTAACAACATGGATGGCCAATATCTTATACAATGTGAAAAACTGTTTGGAAGAAATAGGTTTCTTGCAATACAATTGGAAGAAATAAAATAATTTTTTTTTTTAATAATTTAGAATTAGAAAAAAACAGTTTCTAAAAAAAAAATATAATAATAATATAATAAAAAGTATTTATAAAGTAAGGTTTGCATAAATAGGTTTCTTGCAATACAAGTGGAAGAAATAAAATAAAATTTTTTTAATAATTTAAAGTTAGAAAAAAACAGTTTCTCAAAAAATAAATAACAATAATAATATAATAAGAAGTATTTATAAGCCAAACTTGTTGTTTTTAACAGTTAATACTGTAATTTAGTTTAAATTATAGTAATAATTTCTAAGCTATTTAATTATTGCAAAAACTTAAAAGAAACAACAGGAAAGAAAAATAAATTTAATGAATTTCCTAATAAATAAAAATACTTGTGGTTATTCAGCATTTTGCATAAATAAGAATTCCAGAACATTATTTTGTAATTGTAAACGGAACTGGATTAAAAAAGAACTCAAATAAATTTCATAAATACCACTAAATTAAATCATATACTAAACATAAACATTACTACAAATCATACATTGTATTCACAATTATAAATAGCATTCAAATCTTTATAATCAAATACTGATAAGTACGAAGGCTAATTATTAAATAATATAACAAATACATTTAAAAATTCTGTATAAAAATAAAATAAATACAATAATATAATTATAATAGATATAAGGATAAAAGTTGTAGATTTGATCAATGAAGCCCAGTCAAGTCTTAAAACACTGATGCAACACATGAAAGCATTAAGAACATCACTTAATCTAAGTGAGCTGTCTTTTCTGAAAACTATCTTAGAAAATATGCATCACAGGAGCTTATTTTGGTATTTTTCAAGATTAACTTTTTGTATTATCTCAGACATTTTAAGGCATAACACTGTTTGGGTATCAATTTTTTAAATTAATTAGAAGAGAGTATCCTAATGTTGAGACAAGTCCTTTTAAGAGTGATGGGCCAACTATTTAGTACTGTAACAGTACAAATTAGTACTTTTTAATATTATTTGGTCAAAAATTTAACCTCCAGACTATGGCTTGGGATTTTACTGAAAGTGAACATGGAAAGCATCTTGCATATGGAATCGTAGCCTATGACTCAGATATAAATAATGCGTAAATCCTTTTTTCAATGTTTATCTGCCGCAAAATTAAAAGTTTTTTTAAAAAATTTCTGAAGCAAATATTATTATCATAGATGACCTAAAATCAAAAGATACAGCAGTACCACTGATTCCAAATCTGATGAAATTACATCAGCTCATTTGGAATGTTATCTTCAACTTATTTCACGCTTGGCTTCCCTTACAGTTCTGAATCATCACTTAAAGATCCCTGCTTTAAGAGCTTAGGTTGCAGTTCTGTATGATGAAAAATGATTCCCTGGTAAACTTTTAATTATAATTTTTAATTAACATTGCCAATATAAAATCTACTATAAAATACTTACTTACTATAAAATCTGTTTTTAACAGGTTTAATTGAAGAAATAAGTGATGAAAAACTTAAAATAGATTTCATGTTTAAAAATGGAAACCGATTCTATTGGCCAATTAAACCAGATATTCGAGAAGTAGCAATGGGTAAAATTTGTGTTTTATCATAAGTCCCCCCTAGTCAAGATATTTTATTATGTGAGATATAGATTCAAAAATGAAAAAAATTTCATATGCCTAAATATTTTTTGTCTTACTAAAATCTAAATAAATTCTGTTATTCATTCAATATCTTATTATTGGTTATTTATTTTGATAACTGGAATCCAATTTTGAAGTAGAAAAAATAAATGTTAAATAATTTCAACTTGCTCGGTGGGCAATGTTGCTCGCCTCCGTGACTTTGGTTCACAGGTGCCCACTGGGTAACGTGAAATGAGCAACAATTCTGGCATAGTATAGACAAAAGAGTCAAATTCAGTGCCTGCCATTGGGGGAAAAAAAAAAATTCAACTTTTTCATAATGATGAATTATTTCATGTTTTGTGAATTATTCCCCTTTTCCACTAAATCATTACCCTGTGAGAATTTTTAAATTTCAATTAATAAGACTAATTTTCTAGAATTATGAATTGTCAGTGATATAACCTGCATAAACTCACATTTCGGGGTTTAAAGTTATTAATTAAATAAAAATTACATACATTCATATTTTATAAAATTAAAATCGATGTCAGAGAAATACCTCTTTTTTTTCTCCAGAGAAAGACTTATTATTTTATACACCTAAAAAAGTAATTATTTAAAATAATATTAAAAATTCTTTTAATTATTTCATATTGGTATGAAATATCTATTATAATATTGAAAATAATCTAAGAGTTATTTATTAAATTTAAATGATTTATTTAAATAGGGTATGCATGAGAAGTATTTCATCACAAAATCAAAAACAAGTAATATATATATTAAAAAAAATATTGAAAAAAAAATGTAAGGTCAACAAAGAAAATTTTTTATTTTAGTTACTTTTTATTAAATATTTTATTAATTATTAAATTTTATTTATTACAATTAATATAAATATGTATATACATATGACAGAATTGCATTATTAAGTGGCAAAATATTTATATCCTGCTAAATGTCTTATAAAAGGGAAATTTTTTTCCCATATAAAACTAAATTAATAAACTCAATTAAATTAATGAATAAATATTTGAAAAAATTGTATTAACAGCAAGTGTCATCCACTACAAGTTTAAAAAAATGAATTTGAACTTGAGTGGAGAAATAAAAAGCATTTATTAACGATTGAAAATTTGAACAAAATACATAAATATATATATATAGGGAGAGTGTGAACTAATAGAAGGAATTGAAAAATGCAATTAATTCTTCTTAAAAAATAACAGTACATTTTACATAATCTAATTAAGTCAGTCGAACAGAGAATAATTAGTTATTTGAAAAGCTATGTATTTATTAGCCTAAATACTTTTTATTCGGACAAATTTATTATTCAGTACAGCAAAAAACTTTTTATTTCTATATTATGGCAAATTGCTTAAAATAATGATAAGAACCCACCTCCTGTCCAAGATTGAGGTTGGCAGCTACCCAGTCTCTTCCTTTCTGATACTCATCCAGTAGTTCCATCAGGTAGAGAGTGTTAAGCCCATCCACTATGGTTGCACCCATTGAAGTTTTGCCAAAAATCCCAGCAGCGTGGCCCCTCTTGGACATTGGACGCAGCTCGTTCTGACCCCATGCATACTGGGCATAGTTGTCCCATGCATGCTTCATCATCTGCAGACAAAACATAAATTAACTCAACATGAAAATAGATAAATGCATTCATTTAAGTTGATTAAATTACAGATTTTGAAATTAAAAGCAGGGTATCTGCTACAATTTAGATTTTCAAATTCATGACTTTTCATGACTAATTCCAACAATTTTTTTATGACTTAACGAAGTTTCTATTTTCTCTGACAAAAACACAACAATAAATTTTTAAAAAAATAAACATTATAATAACATTAATTGAAATGATAGGTATAACCAAAAATGTTATATTCTGCATCTTCATATTTATAGATATTAAATTTTAAAAAGAGAGTAAAGAAAGAGTTGAAGCAATAAAACAGCAGAAAATAATAGGAAAGCAAATAATTTTTCTTCTTTTTTTCTGCAGAATTATATTCTAAAGATACTTTTCTTGTTCATCGGAAAGGAAAGAAATACTCCTGATTTCTCTGTTGTCATTTCAGAATTTTAAAAAAATTCGCCAATGACTGGCTTGCATCAGCTAGAATTTTAAATTGATAAAATAAAAATAAATAAATAAATAATAATAAAAATTCTGAAATCGCAGAAGTTTTAAAGATAATTTGCTCTAGAAATGATGTTTTTTCTTCAATTTTTTGAAAGAACACCATAATTTTTAAAGAACATGATAAAAACATTTTATATTTTAATAAAATATGACTGTGAGTGGAGATTTTGTTAGAAATTCAGATATTCGAAACACCATAAAATTGGGGGGGGGGGTTCCATTTTAAAAATTAGATTTTTCACTGACCTAAATGCATGACTTTCCATGATTTTATTTTAAAAAATAGTTATAATCATGACATTTCATGAAAAATTTTGTTCAATACTGAAATTCGTGACTTTCCAGGTGCGCGGATACCCTGTAAAATGTAATAATTGCCATCTATTCTCCTGACTAACCCAACAATAATTATCTTGATTCTGTATGAGTTTCATAATTTTTATTAACCTCAGCGCAAAAGTCATTAGTTCATAAATGCATGTACTGATATAAGGAATGTACTGATATAAGGAAATAAAATCCAATATTTTATTCAAGAGAGCAAAGTAATAGTTGTGATGGTCACTTTCCTATTAATTGTAATCAAGACCTGTAAAAAGAACTTTTAATTATTTATTGAAAATTGTACCTTACAATTCACAAATCAAAGACCTGATAATTTATTCCCTTATTATCTATTTAGTGAAAAATAAAAGTTGATACTTTTTATGAAATATACATAAAGGTTTACTTTAGATGTCTATTATTGCAGCAAACTACAATGCCTTTTAAGTTGAATAGTTCTAATGTGATGAAAGTAATTAAAACTGCAGGTTATTCTAATGGCACTATAAGTTGAAAAATATTTTAATATATTTAGGTTGCAAAACTTTCACATCTTCTCTATCAATCGACAGTCCTCTGTGGACCACAGCATTCTTTAGAAATCTTCCATTTTGTTTTCGTCCTCACTAAGTTGTTCTACCTCAGTGATTTAATGTCTTCAATAATGCAGCTAAGCTAAAAGCCGTTTTAGTTTAAGCTTACTTCGAATTTAGGTACCAATTGTTTTAAAATTAAAGAATTGCTTTGAATAATCTCTTTTAAAATGCCATGTCACAAGAATCAATAAATAAACAAATAAAATAAAAAGCTTTTTAGAAAATACTAGTCAGCTATTAATAACATATTGCTAAAAAAATTCAAAAAAGTTGAGAATTTCTATAGTCTTTATATTTAGAAGAGAAAAAAAAAATGCTTAAATAATAAGACTTCTTCTTATTTTAGTTAAATTAAAGATCAAACCACCAACTCACATTCTTCCATTCCCCCGTAAAAGAAATTTATTCCCAATTGTTTAGTCTGAAAAGAATAAGTTAAAAAATGGTTTACAACATGAATATGCCACTTTGCAGTGAGCAAAATCAAATATTTTTGTCAGAATGTATTTTATACTACAATTGGAAAGCGACCTAAATTGTGTTCCCTTTAATTGTTTAAAAATTAAGATTATTCCATAGATAGTGAGTCAATGGATAACAAAAGTCTGGATAAAACTATTCAAACCACTATTTCTTTTGGTGATATCACTCAATAAACATGAAACACCTTCAATTCTCTAAAAAAGAAAGAGTGACCAGACCACCTGTTCTTACTTAGGAGATCCTTGGTGCATTCAATTCTGGTGCAACACACCTGCATACATTCATAACTTTTTGTAAGATTTTATAGTAAAAACAAGTGGTATTTACGTTTGTCTTGGTTTTATTTTTGATTTAACTCAACAGTTTTCTGGGCATATTAATTCGAAATTCATAAACAGATAAATGCTTAGAAGAGATATTTAAAATTTTGAAGTAAGTGGATAGAATAATTACATCAAAACCACTAATAGCTTAAAATATTCAAAAACCTGGAAAGCACTTTCTTTACAGTAATTAAAAATTGTGATGTAATTCTGAAGACAGGAGAACAAGGCAAACGCCATTGCCACATAAGAAAATTTCAAAATTTAGAAAAAGCACTGAATGATAAAAATAGGGCAAAATATAAAAATATACCTATCGAAAATAAATTAAATGTATTTTTTAAACTTTAACGTATTATATTAATACTTGAATTTCAATGTCAATTATTCTATCAATTCTATTACTCTTTTCTGTGAACAGTATGTTTTTCTCAAAATAAGTTCAGTATTGAGTCATAAGTAAATATTTGATCTAGTTTTGTGCCTTCACGATATAGCGACATAACGTTATAACGTCCGTTTTTGTTTGAACCACAGAGGTCGTTACACCAAGCGTCAACAGTATATATATTTTTAAAAAAATGGAAGCCTTGAGGAAATAGCAAAAAGTGTCCAAAGAGCGATCGGCAAAAACTTGTATGGTCTTGCAATAAAATCGTCGTGAATTGAACGCGGAAATACGCCACGTAACACTTTGTCAAAAAATGATTACTCAAAATGCACGATTTCGTTTTGGAGACTGTTATGTAATATAAGAGTTTTTAAAACCATACGAGAACGACGAAGCGCAATTGACAAAGCCACTTGGAATAGTGTCCAAAAGTGACGATTCAAATGCGCGATCTGTAAGTAAGGAAAAATAATCATTCTAAGAAATTAAAAGTCGGGTAGAGAAGAATATGAGGAAAAGTGACATAACATAGGGAAGGGAAGAAAATTGCGATTAACAAGAACATGGATTGCCAAATTTCATGTATATTTTGAGTAAACAAGTTACATCTCGTAATATTGGGTAGGAAAAAAATGATAGGTTGGTTACTCAAATACTCAAAATGAAATTCGCAAGCATCGTAATTACGCATTTTGATACATCGTTTGAGAAATTGAAATTTTTAACAACGTGAAAACGTACCATAATGGCTGTGCAGGTGTAATTACCGGAAAGGCGTAATTAGTATTGTGTAATTAGAGCGTAATTAATCGCGTAATTAGCATTGTGTCAAATACGTGATTGGATAATTCGTATTGTAAGATCATATCTATTGTTTTATAACTTCACTCTCTTAAAAATATACTGCGGTAGGATATCGAGATAAATCAATAGATTTAAAAAAGAAAAAAAGAAACTGAGTTTAAAATGCCGGAAATGAATTATAATTGTTATAAAATCGGAATTTAAAGTACTATTACATTTTACCTTTACGCACAAATTCTCATGAGACATGAATGAAATTCAGAGAGAATTAGTGCAAAATTAAATACAATTTGAACTGGAGAGCAAGGGATCGAACAGTATTTTACCTCATTAAAAAAAAAAAACAATCACGAAGAAAAAAAGTTTAAATAAATAGTCAACTGTGAGGAAAACAGACTTGAATGCTGTCAAAGTGAGTTTTCTTTCAAAAATTGAATACTAAAAAGCTTCCGTTTGGGAGCTCTAAGCAAAGCTTAATTAAATATAAGCTGAAAAGAATTATCTGCACTTCAATATGGATTTTTAATATTTAGAGATTTATTTACTGTTTGGATGCCAATGTTCCAAAAATAGAACATGGACTTCGAATTTAATAAGCAATTGAAGTCCAAATTACATTATTTACTATACATTTTAAATTTACATTATGCAATATTTTTTGCATTGAGTTCGGTTCCGTTAAAATAATTATTGGATCTTGATATAATTTGTAGAGGTAAATATTGATATAATTTGATGATTGATGAGAAAATTGATTGTTTTGAAATGAATTGAAATTATTTGATTGATGAGAAAATTTATATCATTTGTCGATATCCATCTTCACCAAAAATCCAATTTTTATAATAAGATTCGAATACTTATAAGGCTTTATTGAGAAAATATAACCCTTTGTTAGGAGAATCAAATTCAAAATTTTAAATTCAAAAATCCAATGTTCCATTCTTGGAACATTGGCGCTTCAAGGGTTCGATTTTTAGATTTCATGTGATTCATAGAGTAATGTAGCGTGCGTTTCATTCAATTAGTACTTATTCAAGATAAATAATGATGTTTGAATGGGGGGGGGGGGCGTTGAATGTGTTAGCTTCTTTTGACACGAATTTACAATGGATAGCAGCAGTAAAGCACTCCCAGTGTTTTTCTATTTGGTTGAATTTATTTCAATAGTGATGGTTTTTTAGGGGGCTGTTACACTTTGCCTTAGTTGACAATAACATCAAAGGTTTTTTTTCAAAGGTATTGAATAGATTCTTGTTATCCATAGGTTTTTTTCTTCTTTCCCCTTTCTGATTCTTGTGATTTATTTTACTTCTGTGATAAATATGTTATTATGGAAGAAAGTATGTCCTTTTTTAAGTTGTTTGATTTTGCTTGCTCTAAGCACCATGTCTAAGCAAAGAATGTGGCAGAAACATTTTCTGATTCAGAATTGGAAAAGCTACATATTTTTAGCCTGATGAAACTAAGAGTTTCAATTGATACGTAATACATAGATGAAAGCTTATTATTCCATTTTAAATCATTAGAATATTGCTTTTGAAAGTAAA